AAGTTATACTGTGATAATAAGGCTGCAATAGAAATAGCTCATAATCCGGTTCAGCATGACAGGACCAACGTGTGGAAGTTGATAGACATTTTATTAAGGAGAAACTTGATCATATGATTATTCAGTTACCTTTCATACGGTCAGAAAATCAAGTTGCTGATATTCTAACAAAAGTTGTTTCAGGGAAGTCGTTTGATAAAGCAATTAACAAGTTGAGTATGATAAATATACATGCACCAACTTGAGGGGGCGTGTTGAGATATATAAAAAACAATTAATGTAGTCTCACCCAACAGCTTAAGCTTTTAGGTCGAATTGGTTCCTAACATAGTATCAGAGCGTTCAAAATCTCACCGCCTCTCACTTTCTTTGTAGTGGAATTTCCACATGTAGGTGGGCTTGTATGTTGTCCACCCTTCAAGCCCAGTGGGCTCTCGTGTGAGAGGGCGTGTTGAGAAATATAGTCCCACATTGGTTGTATGGGCAACTAATGTGAGGTTTATAAGGCATTTGGCACTCCCACCCTTTGAGCTAGCTTTTGGGGTGGTGACCTCAAGGTTCTTAACATTTACATTTCTGCAGCTGCTGTACGTGCAACAATCAAATACTTGCCATATATATACTTGAAAGCATTAAATGCGGAGAATCGTAACCATACAAAAAGCATTAAATGTGAGGAATCATAACCATACATCTGTCGTTGTTGTACGTAAAGCGCCTGCAGAAATGATTTATCATATATATACATATATATATATAGGGTTCGTTTTTTTACAGTCAATGTAGATAACTTATCTTAGATAACTTATCTTAGATAACTTATCTACATTGAGCCCAAAAAGGCGTCGTTTTGAGGCAGAAATCAAGGTATTTTTGTAACTATAATTTATTTCAGGGTTATGATAGTCTTTTTTATTATATTTTTTAAATTTTTCAACCCAAAACGACGTCATTTTGGGAGTGAATGTAGATAATTTATCTACATTCACTGTAGAAATATTAAACCCATATATATATATATATATATATATATATATATATGGGGTAGGATCATTTGATACCGGTGTCAAATTTTAAATTTGACACCTCATGTAAGAGCTGTTAGATCATAAAAGTTCAACGACTCTGATTTGTAAGCATGTCACGCCATTGATCTTTTTAGATCAACGGCTCTTACATAAGGTGTCAAATTTGAAATTTGACACCGGTATCAAATTTGAAATTTGACACCGGTATCAAATATCTCTCTCTCTCTCTCTCTCTCTCTATATATATATATATATATATATATATATATATATATATATATATATAATTTTGTGATAAAGTAGAGTACGCAGGTCCTTCCATCTCAATTGCTGGAGTTTAAATGTTGTCTACCATATCATTATAATTTGAAATTATGTATGTATTTATATATCTTTTTAGGGAAAGGTAATACTTACAACCTTTTTTCTTTACAACCTCTTACAACCATATATCTTAACGTTGATTTTCGTCAATCAACGGTTATCATTTATTGTGATTTAATAATTAATTAATAAATTTAATTTGCGAAAATCTTAACCGTTGATTGACGGAAATCAACGGTTAAGATATATGGTTGTAAGAGGGTGTAAAGAAAAAATGGTGTAAGTATAACCTTCCGCATCTTTTTATTATACTTTCTTTTGCATCATATTGTTCAGTAAATTCTTCATTAAATTTTATTTAACAATTGATTAATGATTAAGAATAATACCAACTAAATGAAAATATCAGAAAGTTATCTTTTTCAAATATACCCTCCCCTAGCTATATTATCTTTTCTTGATAAGATAATACATTGTCTTATCATTTGAGTTTAAAAGAATGATATATGTTAACAATGGATTCTAATAAAGGCACTACAACAGTGTAATTGTAACTTAATTGGTTCCAACTTAAATATTTTAAGATATGATAATATTTCTTTATGTAGATATGATAATAATATTAGAGATTTGGTTATTTTTGCCTATTCTACTCTTTTAAGTGTTTGAAGCAGAAAAAGGGTTAAATTTATTTCAATCCCCTCATTTATCATTATTTTTTACTCTTTATACTTTAATTTATATAATTAGGCACATTATACTTTAATTTTAACATCATTTAATCCAATTCTTCAATTTTTATTAAAATTAGCTATCATTTAACAATAACTTAAAATAAAATATTCAAAATACCCTTGATCTTTTTTGTTCATTGAAATATGAATGCGTTCGATGAGATATTCACCTTTCCCATGATTTCGGATTCGATTCTGAATTATTCTTCCTTTCTAGGCGACACGGCATAACATAGGCACAGCTTTCAGATTTCAGCAGTAGGATATAGGAGGTCTCATTTGAGGTCTTGCATTTTGCTCATATCTTCTGAGTAGTGTATACATAGTAGGTACTACTTATATATCCATTAACTTTGTCTGTTGAGGGCTTGAAACTCTTTCTTAAGATGGATGTTAATGGATTGCTTCGCTATTTTGGCAATCGAAAAAATTAGGCAAAGATCTCGTTGACAGAGCAACAGCCCCACCTTTTTGTGCAACCCATTGGTAACCTTACAGAAAATAATATCGAAGGCAAAGTGAAGAAAAAAGAAACGAAGAAAATTTCTTTCCAATTAATTCTGTAAACAATAAAATAGGTTTAACTGAATTGTGATAACTTAATTATGTGACACTTATAAAAGGTCATTTGGGTTACGATTTCTTTATAATTTCAAAATTTTAAAAATAAACTCTAACATTAAATAATTATTTTTACAATTAAATTACTCAACCCAAAAATATTTTTTAAAGAATCTCACGGCTGTGAGTTTCATATTATATCAGAGAATACATAAGAGAACGAATTCTTTATCAAGTTAAAATTAAATTTTCATAAATTAGTTTCTTGCTTAATTAAATGGACAAAATATATATATATAGGAGCAGAAGATAGGTTGGAGTAATAATTCTGTCAAGTTAAAATCAAATTTTTACAAGTTAATTTCTTATTTATTTAAAAGGAGAAAAATATATATTTAAGGTTTATTAATAATTCATATAAGGTAATTTCTTCTAAAAAATGTATTCTGAATAAATATAGTGAGTTTTATTTTTCATCCTTTTTCGTATTTAATCAAAATGAAATTAAGAACAATTTTATAATTTTTTCATAAGAGTTTGGTGTTTGTCATTTTAAATAACATAAGTTATGTCATTTTAGGAGAGAAATAGACACAGAAAAATAAAAATCATGGGAGAGAGAAAGTGAGTGATTTTTTTAATTTAAAATTCAAATCTTCTGTGTCTGTATCTATCTTAAAATGACATAATTTTCTGTCATTTAAAATGACAAACATTTTTCCTTTTTCATAAATTCTAAATACATTTTTCTCTCGTGCTTTCTAGCATGTTGTGAAATTTGCATGTGTAATTTTTTTTTGAATAGATATCATTCAATGTTCGAAGCCCTAGTAGGTTTGACCCATCTGATTTGGCTTTAAACTTTTCCACCATTGGGGAGTAACCAGCTACTTTTTAGGTCAATCAATTCTTGCCCTGGGGTCTAACTGAGACATCACTAAACCATCAACTCTTGTTTTATGACTTTAATTTATTAGTCATGTAAACTGTTAGATTTAATGAGATAAACAACTAATAATAAAAGTAAGGGTTTTATTAGTGTTATGTAACATAATGTAATTGTTGTTTCCAACTCTCTCATCAAAAAGGAGAGAGAAAGTGGAATGATGAAAGAGAAAGAAAAACATGTGGATCCCACCTCTTTAATGTGTGTGTAGGAAAGTGAAGTTATATTATGTTAAATGATAAACATAAAACCCTAAAAGTAATACTTGTTAGACTTTAGAAGCTGATATTCCCCTTTCAAATTAATTATCTAATCCAAGCATTCTATGGTTATTTAAATAAAATATTTTTGCTTATTTAACTAAAAAAATATTTATGCGTATGGATTTTTTTAATAAACAAATATATATATTACTTTTTATACTTTACAAAAATTTTATAATTAGAATATTTTACAAATAATATTTTGTTAAAAGTGTTAAACATATTTATAGTATCACAAATTATAATGGAAAAAGTAAATTTTAAAATTTAATAATTATGTTTTTTTTATTTGTAATAAGATTTAGTACACTTTTGAGCTTTTCATACATATTTTAAATTAAAAGTCATTTTTGAAATATTAATTAAATTTGTTTAGCGCGTTAAAAATAACTTTATCTGTTAGAAAAAGCATATTCTTGATCTCCTTAGCGATGCACAAAGGAAAACTTAAATGTAAATCTTCTAGAATTCAAATTGACCAAAATTACAAATAAGAAAGTGAAAAGGAGAATCCTTAAGTTGACCGAAAACAATATCAACGACAGATGATATGGTTGATATATCTAGCTCATACTAGACATTATCTACCTTATGCGATTAGTGTCATCAACCAATTCAACCATGACCCAAAGGAAAAACATATACATGAATAGACAAAATTCTCTTGTATCACACCCGACAAAGGACTATTATTTAGGAGGCAAAAATCTATCACTAGAGGTTTATATTGACAATAAATATGCTGGGTTTATTATCGATCAACGATCAACCTAAGGCTATTGTATATTTGTTTGTGGAAACCTAGTAACATGGGAGAGTAAAAAGCAAAATATGATTGCTAAATTAATACAAATGCAAAATTTATAGTTATGGCCAAAGGTAATTTGAATTGTTGTGTCTAAAAATTATCCTAAATGACCTCGGTGAGATGTCAAACACCCTGAAACTACTTTATGATAACAACTCAGCCATATGCATAACACACAATTTTGTCCAACATAATTGAACAACGCACATAGATTAACCGCCATTTCATCAAAGAGAAGTTAGATAATGGACTAATCATTACTCCATATATTCCATTTGTTTGCCAATTAGTTAACGTCTTGACCAAGTAATTTCTCATTAACAAATTTCAAGTACTGGCGGAATTGATGGTCGTTGTCCAACTTGGGTTGTCAGAACATATTATTCAAGATTCCAATGCTATCTTCTCCCTTGCTCTTGATGAGGATGATGTAAACAACATTAGAGAAGCCTCAGGGCAAGGAAAAGATCTGCATAAAGTGATTGGTGATTATGGAGAAGTATACAGGCTACAGTCATGCTGGAATATCATAAAGGTCAATAATTTCATTTAAATAAGACAATGGGGACAACAAGAAATTATTCACGTCACCACCGTAGAAGAATTTGTATGTGATGCTTCCATAAATCAAATTACTCCGTGATTGGTTCTGGAAAGGAATCCATTGAACGATTAAGCTGTAATATGGCACTGGTAGCTTGCATTTTATGTGGACAGGATAGATATTTCATTGATCAAGTTGAATATTTCATATACACAGAATTTACATCATGCAATGACAAACAGAATAAAAGAATTGCTTACAACAGTGTCAAACGAGCACACCGCAAATGGTTGAATAATCTCGTAGACTGTTGGCCACAAGCAGGTTTCGATGCTTCTTTCATACCGGGGCACTTGTTGCTTACGACTAAGCAGATTTGCAAGGACCGGATGTGTACACTGATACTATTACTCTACACAGTTTAGTTTGGATTTAATCCCGATCATATCTCACTCAACTTTTAACTATCTAAATTCTAAAATCCAGGAGGTACATTCTTGGAGAAGTTTGAATTTCTGACGAGAAGCAATGTTCAAGAAAACCTGCATCTTAGTGCAAAATTCACTTACATCTTCCTTGCACCTAAATGAGCCTGCACATGCACACTGCTCAGCCAAATGTGCAGCTTTCACCTGGCTGCACCTGAGACACACCAGATCTTGGAGGTGATATTGCCGTTCTCTTTGTCGTACAATCTGAAGAAGAGTATTCTCCGTCGCCTCGCGGTCATAAGGCTGGCCGCACTGTGGCACAGCACAACGCCACTCCTGAGTCAATAAAGCTGAGTCACAGCACAAGTCCAAGTCCCTGCAGCCATTACAATAGCTGTCCCCGAAAAATAAAAAGTAATCTAAGTCAATATGGGAAGCTTAACACATTTTTGCTTTCGGACCATGATTAACATTGTTGGATCCAACGTAATCCAACGTATAAAGACAACGGAAATCTCATCCATATAAATCAAATCAGACCATCGATAAAATTATCAAGTTAAAGACTGGCCATTAATGCAGAAAGCTTGCAAATTCCAAAGCACATGAAAAGATAGTAATTATAAGAAATAATAGAAAGATAGATAAACCCCAGCCCAATGAGGCAAAAAGCAATTGCATTTTAGTTATGAGAAGCAGTGCAAAGTGAAAATGATTTCAGCTTTTTCTAATATCAAATTGTTTATCTTGGCAGTAACCCTTCTTAGGCAAAGAAATTTACAAAAACCACAAACTGGCCCATAAAAAAATTAACAGCCACTGATAATATAAGAAACAGTCAATGGTTTTCATTAAACAAAATTGAATAGTTTGGCAACCAATTAATAAGATAGTTCTAGTCAAACTCGAGCAAGAAATGCTTATGCATTTCAAGAAAAAACATAATAACTCTAATGCCATTGATAGTCAAAATACTTTTAGTAAAACTATTGTATTGTTTGCTATTCAATTGATAAATCAAAATCTATATTCTTTTACCTGCAGATAACATTGGGTAAGATGATGGAATGACAACGATTACGAAACTCAGCTTCTGGAGCAAACTCCCTGACATGAACATACTTTAACAAAATCTTTCTCATGACCTGTCAAGTGAAGGACACAATCAAAACAATCACTTTCCAGACCAAGGATAAATGTAGAAACCAGAAGATAAACAACCGATGAAGAAAGAAGCCATTCCACTTAAATTATTCGGAATAATATAGAAGTATAGCTTCACCACTCCTACTTCTTTTTTCTTTGGCATGAGGTTAAGTACTGAACAATGCTTAAATTCTTCTTTCTTGTTGATATCCTAATCAACATAGGTTATAATGGTGTAATCTCTTCTTAATATTCAAAAGTTAAGTTTGCAATCAGCAGTAAGCAATACTTCACTTCTGTGTAGCACCGTCATTACTATGTACACAACAATGAAACTAATAAAAAATTATTCAAATGAGCCGCTGCAAAGCCAAAATAGCGCAGTTTCTTTCACGACCAGGACTGGATCATTGATAATACGTCAAGCCAATATGGTTTCAAGTAACTTAGCTCAAAAAAGGTATCATAAGGACGCATAGGCTGCATGTGACAAATTCACCAAAGCACGTGCAGAATTCTAAAAATGTGAAAATTTACAAACTAGATTATGAAATGGTCTGGCAGGGCAGGAGGAGCTCATGGCGGAAAATCAGCATCAATAGCCTAAGTAAGTCCAACCACATAAAGTGGACTCGACACTATGGCTCAACCCAATATGGTTTCAAGTAACTTAGCCCAAAAAAGGTGTCATAAGAACGCATAGGTTGCATGTGATAAATTCACCAAAGCACGTGCAGAATTTTAAAAATGGAAAAATTTACAAATTGGGTTATGAAACTGTTAGGCGGGCCAGAGAAGCTTATGACGGAGGACTACCCCACCAATGGGCTAAGCAAGCTCAATCACATCAAGTGGCTCTGACACTATGTCTCAACCCAAAACCTTAAGATATTAGATTCATGAATCTTTCCACTTATATGGACGTTACTTAACTTATTATCAACCAATGTGAAACTTCATCACACTTAAAAATCCTAACAATAACCTTGTCAATTACCAAAGCAAGAATCACATTACAATCAAGAACCCAAATATGTCTTCCAAGACTGATTTCAAATATGATGAATCTCCGCCATGAAAACTACATGCATTTTACAAATAGATATGTCATAGTCTCTTGGACATATATCAAAAGTATTCCGACATGAGACTGTAATGCATAAGTGCTGCAAGTATATACACCTCACCTATTCCTAACAGAATACTGAAAAATATCTAAAGCTGTAAAGACAAAGACTACAATATCCCTAATGATAAAAAAATATAATATCCCTAATATAACCCAACTCATGGGTGTGAAGAAAATTGTGTTGAATCCAGAACCATGAGTTTGGTTCTAAGATCAATGGTGTAGAGGCTTTGTAAATGTATCAACAATTTGGTCAGAAGCTGGAACATGGAACAATCTGGTCCTGGGTTAACTCGATCTGCAACACAATCTTCTTCAGACAAGTAGTGGTGTGGTATTTGAGGGTTGACGAGGTATCCTTGAACTGGTGTGATTTAATCACTGGTTCAACCAGTAGTTTCTAGATGAGAAAATTGTTTTCTGTGAGTTTCACCATTGCATGATGGGAAATGAGCCCAAATTTGGATTCTACGAAAGCCATTGGGTAGGGAAAAGTTTCTGGTTTAGGCCCGCAAAGAGAGCTCTAATACCATCAAAGAGAAAAGGAGAGAATATGTCTGAATTCTATTTATAACATGATGAAAATGATGAACAGTGCAAAGTTAAATAGAAGAACTACGAGCTCCATCTGTTACGGATGTTTACTCCGGAATCAATAGGGGGAATAAGAATAAAGATTAGTTAGTTAGGAGGGCGTTTATAAATAACAGGGGCAATAGCCTCTAGGAAAGGTGCATTCTTTGTATTTTCAGTTGAGTGAATGAGAGAGTTCTCATTGTGAAAGGAGGGATATCTCCTTTGTGAAGAGTTAGTCCCTTGTAATTGTCTTTCTCAAAATCAATAAACCAGTTTTCGTTCTTATTTTCCTTTCTTGTCTCTGTTCTAGTACTGCTTTTCTATGGTAGATCGTAACAGCAGCTCCCCAAGAAAGGTGCGTCCTAGAATACGTGCACCTAACCTATTCTAAATAGAATACAGAAAAATATATAAAGCTGTAAAGTAAAAAGACTATAATATCCCTAATAATTAATAATACTGGTTGTTAAGTAAAGCCAACACAATTTAGGGAAAACAAATATTACCAAAATATCATGCTGCACATTTTGGTCACGGGCCATGACAGCACAGACATGCTCGATAAATTCCAAGGCTGCATCCCCTCTACGGTGATCACTTTTAAGTTGAGGAAGGGCAGATGATATATTCTGGTCGTTTTCTGATCTGTTCATCCCCTTCATGTGAAGACCAATATCACGTACAATTCCTAGCAGTTTGTCAGTGAAGTAAGAGCTAATCTGTGGAATAGAACGCCAAACAATATAAGAATCAACTAATATTTACAATGAAAAAAATGGTGCAACTTCAATTCCTTATGTTGTCATTGTTATACCTGCCCTTTAATATATTCCGTTATTTCTGATTCAAAAGCCTCAGCAGCTACGATGTTAATTGATGGGGTGCAAGACTCGTCATTCAGCAATGACGCCCTAATTGCTGCTTGTTTATGTGCATAGTTCCAGGGAATATACATGAATTGAGAAACAATGAAAACAAAATGGTCCTGTAAAAAGCCATAACATGACCAAAAAACTTAGATATGAAGAATGCAAAATAGTCCCTGTATTAAATTGCTAACCATTTCAATTCCAGTAAATAAATCTTCCCAAAGAATCCTTGTCTTTAGCACTTTTGTATTCAAGCTAAAATTCATACCAAGTGCTAAACAACCAATTCAACTCAAAAACCTTAAGTGATGTTGAGATATATAGTCTCACATTGGTTGTATGTGCAACTAATGTGGAGTTTATAAGGTCTTGAGCACTCCCACCCTTTGAGCTAGCTTTTGAGGTGGTGTATCTCAAGGTTATTTACATGGTATCAGAGCCTCGCCGCCCCCCACTTTCTCTTGTGGCGTTTCTTAGCACAGGTAGGCTGGGCCTGTTGCATTGTCCACTCTTCAAGCCCAATGGGCTCTCGTGTGACTACATAATTACTAATAAATGACTACATAATTACTATTTACAACACTCCCCCTCAAGCTGAGGAATAGATATTTATCATTCTCAGTTTGCTAGCAAGTTCTTGAAATCTATCTGAAGGAAGCCCCTTTGTCAATAGATCAGCTAATTGACGCCCAGTGGAAATGTATGGAGTGGTAATCAACCCGCTATCAAGTTTCTCTTTGATGAAATGGCGGTCGACCTCAATATGTTTAGTCCGATCATGTTGAACTGGATTATGAGTTATACAAATAGCGGACTTATTATCACATAGCAGCTTCATAGGTCCCTCACATTTTATTTTTAGATCATCAAGTACAATTTTCAGCCACAGTAACTCACAAATGCCTTGAGCCATAGCTCGAAATTCAGCTTCTGCACTTGATCTGGCGACCACATCTTGTTTCTTACTTCTCCATGTCACCAAGTTACCACAAAGAAACATGCAATAACTAGTGGTAGAACGACGGTCAGTCACGGATCCAGCATAATCAGCATCTGTGTAGACTTCTAAAGATAGATTGCCATCACGTCGGAATAACAACCCTTTACCAGGAGTACCTTTCAGATACTGAAGAATTCTCTCTACTGCCTGCATATGTTTCTCCTTTGGATCGTGCATAAACTGACTGACAACACTAACAGCATAAGCTAAGTCTGGTCTAGTATGAGCCAAATATATCAATTTCCCAACTAGCCGTTGATATTGTCCTTTATCAACTGGAGGACTCTCCTCTTCATAGCCCATCTTGTGATTCTGCTCAATAGGAGTATTAGAGGGTTTACATCCGAGCTTTCCTGCTTCTTTGAGAAGATCAAGAACATATTTCCTCTGGCTGATAAAGATTCCTTTGCTCGAATGAGCTACTTCTATCCCTAGGAAATATCTCAGTTTCCCAAGGTCTTTGACTTCAAACTCAGAGGCAAGCCGTGTTTGCAGAATCTGTCTCTCCACAAAATCATCACCTGTGATAATAATATCATCAACATATACAAAGAGCACAGTAAGCTTCCCATTTTGGGAGTGCTTGAAAAAAAGAGTGTGATCTCCTTGACTTTGTTTATATCCTAAGGTCATCATAACCTTAGTGAACTTTCCAAACCAGGCACGAGGTGACTGCTTCAATCCATACAAGGCCTTTTTTAATTTACAAACTTTATTTTCTCCCTTCACAGAATCAAAACCAGGCGGAATGAAAGCATTCTTCACATCAAATTGGTTTATATCCCAATTGTAATGGGCAGCAAGGGATAACAAAACTCTCACCGTATTCATCTTTGCAACTGGAGCAAATGTTTCTTCATAATCAATGCCATAGGTTTGAGAGTAACCTTTGGCAACTAATCGAGCTTTGTATCTCTCAAGAGTTCCATCAGAATTATATTTCAGGGCATAAACCCATCTGCACCCTACTGCTTTCTTTCCAGTAGGTCTATCAATAACCTCCCATGTTTTATTTTTCTCCAATGCATTCATCTCCTCTTGCATGGCTTGAGCCCAATTCCCATCTTTCAAGGCTTCATGTACTGATTTTGGGATTGCAATAGAGTCTAGTGCTGAAACAAAGCTTTTGTGCTGCACAGACAGATTAGCAGAGGAAACAAAATGGGAGATAGGGTATTGAGTACAAGAGGAACAAGATTTCTTGGGACATGATCTTTTTCCTTTTCTAAGAGCAATGGGTAAATCATCAGAATCAGTAGTAATGGGTAAGTCATCAGAAGTATCATGATCAGAAATATGAGATTCAGGACTTACCAGTGGTTCAGACGATTGAGGTTGCTGCTGAGGCAATGTGGGCTGTGTATCAGTCATAGGAGGATCAGTCACAGGAGGATCAGACATAGACACATTGGGAACAGGAACAAGAGGAAGAGACACTGACTCAGGTGAAGGAGTAGACACTGAAGATTCAAATTCAAAGAAGGAAGGTGATGAGTCTTCTAGTGAATTATTCTCCCCCTGAAGATGAGGACCTTGGAAAAAGGACTCAGATTCCTGAAATGTAACATCCATAGAAACAAAAAATTTCCGACTACCAGGGTGATAACACTTGTAGCCCTTCTTATCAGGAGCATATCCAAGGAAGACACATTTAAGAGCCCTAGGATCCAACTTACTGCGATGCTGTTTATGAATATGAACAAAGACAACACACCCAAACACTCGAGGAGGAAGACTTTGCAAAGTTGGAACAGAAGGAAAAAAAGAAGTCATGGAGTGAATAGGACTTACATGATCGAGAACCCGAGTGGGTAGACGGTTGATCAAGAACGCTGCAGTAAGAATGGCATCTCCCCAATAGCATTTGGGTACATGTGTTTGAAACAGTAAGGCACGAGCAACTTCAAGAAGGTGACGATTTTTTCTTTCAGCAACCCCATTTTGTTGAGGGGTGTCTACACAAGTAAGTTCATGAATCATACCTTGATTTCGTATAAATTGGGAAAAACTGTGATTAACATATTCAGTACCATTATCTGTTCTTAGTCTCTTGATTTTTCTACCAAATTGGGTCTCAACCATTTTATAAAATTGAAAGAACAGATGTGGTACCTCAGACTTTTCATGCATTAAGTAAACCCAAGTTACACGAGTGCAATCATCAATAAAAGAAACAAACCATCTATTTCCAGAAGCATGAGGGACTTTAGAAGGACCCCAAACATCAGAATGAATAAGATCAAAAGGTTCAACACTCTTAGTACTACTAGAAGGAAAAGACACACGATGATGCTTAGCAAACTCACAAACATCACAATGAAAAGACTCAACAGGCTTAGATAAAAACAATGACGGAAATAAAGACTTGAGTAAACCAAATGGAGGATGTCCCAAGCGCTTATGATGAAGCCAAATCAAAGAATCAGCAGTTGATTGACCATGAGACATCAAGATGTGATCTGTTACTTTATTTGCGGGAGATTGTGACACCAGATAGTACAGCCCACCTTGCTCTTTAGCACTACCAATCGTCTTCCCCGTGGCGAGATCCTGAAAAACACAATGGGTAGGGAAGAAGGTTACAGTACAATTCAGATCTTTTGTAATTTTATGAATAGAAAGAAGATTCGTGGAGAGTTTAGGAACATGAAGAGCATCTTTAAGATGTAAGGACTGCTGTAAGTTTATGTCACCAGAACCCGCAACTGATGTATGTGAGCCATCAGCTATGGCTATAGTATGAGTTCCAATGGTAGGATGATAAGAAGCAAAGGAGTCAGCACAACAAGCCATATGATCAGTAGCACCAGAATCAACAACCCAGGAATGTTTAAAATCATTACATGAAGAAAGGAAAGAATGAGTTTTGGGGCTCATACCAGTCAAAGCCAAAACACTAGTATCAGATGGCTTACTCAGATAATCAAGGATGGTTCGGAGCCGTTCTAACTCATCTAGACGAAATGCAGGTTGGGTCTCATTAGGTGCAGGAGTTATTCCAAAGGAAGTAAAATGCGCTTGACCACGCATCCTTGCCATCTTTTCTAAGACAGTTTGCTTTCCATGGAGGCGAAAGCATAAATCCTTGATATGACCTGTTCTTTTACAATAAGAACACCATCGATCATCTCTCTTAGGTTTAGAAGATGCACCATCATAAAACTTTGTAAAGGAACTCCTTTGGTCAACGAAAAAGGCTCTAAAAAGCCAAAAAATTCGGAAAAAATACCAAACGATGTCCGATCTGAGAAAACAACACAGATCCAGAAAGAGAACAAGGAGACGAGAAGAATGGTGGTGGTCCGGTCCAGAAACACCGCCGGACGCGCCTCCACGCGCCGGAGAAAGCAGCTGCGCGTGGGCTTCACTCGCGGACAAAGAGGCGGTGCGTGAGAGCGCGTGGCAAGGCTTCTCCGGCTGAAACTTTTCCGGTGTGGTCGTCCGGTGAGCGCGCACCTGTCTGTGGGTGGTTGCGGTTGAAAAGTCACCGGAAAGGGTTCTAAACGGTGAAGACAGAACTGGTTGAAGGCGGTCAGAGGTGTTTGGGTCGTTTGTGGCGGAGGAACGTTGCGTAGAATGATAGAACGAAAAAAAAAAGAATGTCAACAGTGGTCCCCTTGGTCCAAAAGGTCCCCGGAAAAAATTTTCCGGTGGCGGCTGATGGCGGCAAGAGGCAAAGAAATTAGGGTTTTATAAAAAAAAGACAATAAGTGCGGAAGCAGAGCCCTCAGGATCGAGTGCTCTGATACCAACTTGAAAAAAGGTTATGAAATATTATTGATTTTTGTATTTGAATCTGTACATAGGGGTCTCTATTTATAGAGACTTCTTGACCTAATTTTGACCTAATGGGCTTGGCCCAATACACGAGTAACGGACTAAATAAATACAAATAAATGACTACATAATTACTATTTACAACAAGTGACAACATTAATAGTTTTATATTAATATCTCTAACACACTCCTTATGCAATAGCCCTTGGATAATGCAGACTCACTTTTTTTATTTATCTTGTGCTGATTTAACTTACTTCTTTTTTAAAATTTTATTAGAAAACAAGGGTGGGTGCTGAGGTTCGAACTTATGGGCACTTGGTCACAAGCTCAGATACCATGTTAAACGATCAATTCAACCCAAAAACTTAAGCTGGTAAGTGATAACCACATTAATGGTTTTATATTAATAGCTCTTAACACACACCCTCTAACACTAAGTAACTTACTTGGATTTTTTTGGGTAAGTATTCAGCAATATTCCAGCTCGATATAATATCAACTTGTGATTCATCATTCATGGCTTCATCAGATTTTGCTGGTATTCCACCGTAGTTATACTACAAGAGGAGAAGCACAATAACTAAGCAATATATGATTACATGCTGACTTGGAGTAAATAATGGAAAAGTGAAATGATAGCATGACTGTAAAACTATATCAAATCAAGAACATGAAGAAATTACATTAGATTTCCATAGGAGTACGGTAAAATACTGATGTTCACAATTAGATGCATTTATCACTCGGTCACCACCATTATGCATTTAATATCAAAACAGGATATTTAAACTAGAAACATAAGAGATAAAAAATATTTACGACCACTAGTAGCAAAAACAATAATATATAATATATCACACCATTATCAAATCTTAAACTGGCTTCATCAGTCAAGAAAATTTCTTTGGTTTTTCTTTATGAAAGATCAGTCAAGAAACTCTCTATTTCCATTTTGGCATCAGTTATAAACCTTGCCCATAAAGAAAATATTTCACATTAGGTCATTAGGTATTAAATCAATGACTTTCTTCATAATTATATTACAAGAAAAATTATTACCTTCCCTCGCATTCTGAAACTTTAGTTCGAATATATTTTTATTGGACTACCCAACCATTCAAGAGTTATAAAATGTGCCTGGTAGACCTCGTGTTATTGTATTATTATTTTTTGGTGACTGATGGAACCTCAATTTGATATAAAGAATAAACAAGATACAGATTAACAAACAATTACAGTAATAACAAACAAGAGGAAAAACTTCACTCCAAGACAACCTAGCCTTGAGAGCTTCCCTATTTTCTCTCCTAATTCCTCAACCCAATTCCCCAAATTACAAATGATATTCAGCCTAAAGAAACCCCACCCTAAACATCTATATATAACTAATTCCTGACTAATGGGCTTGGATACTTTATTAAAGGCCATAATACTTCCCCTCTAAAACTTACCTTGTCCTCAGGGTGAAGAAAAAGGATAGATAATGTTAGAGAACTTTCTACTCGGGTCTCATTGTTTAAAGTATACAGATCTCGTTATGCTAGAGGCAGCATAATTGCTATTAAACCATGTTACACATGACCTGCATGAGGGTAACTTAGTAAGACTCTTGGAAACTTCATGGAATACTTTTAGTAACTCCATAATAGCTACTTCTTGGGCACATGACAGTTTCGAGTACCCCTCCTCCCCATTTGCTCAATCTTTACTGCCACAACTGATAAGTCAAGTTGAATGCCCTTGCACGTCCCTCGACTATGCACACTATTTCCATAGCCCATGGCTGCTAAGTATTCTCTAGTATTGAACCTCCCACACCCAACAACATAACCAGCAAGCTTGGGTTTTGACAAATATGGTGTGGAGAGTAGTTGTACCTCTCCTTCATCTCTTCCGGGGAAAGCCTTTGAAATCTCGCGCCACTGCCACCGTTGTTAGGATTAGCCGCAATCCTATGTTTTGTGTTCCCTTGATACCCTCTTTTCTTGTATTCGTTGGTTGCCCTTCTGATTGGGCTGAATTTATTGCCCTTTCATTACCAGCCCATTAAGTCCATCAATGCTATTCCTATTAGGCCTACCTCCCATAAAAGGCCCTTCGCCCAATGCTGGTCGCTTGTGTGACCCAACCACAACTACTACTCTTACCAATTTGCCCCAAGAATGACCCGACCCGTTCACATTCTTTCTCCTGTTCTTCAATTCCTTGTTCGAGCTGGAGCACGTCTTCCTTCACTATTGTCTCCTTGACTTTGTTTCCGATTTCTTCCTCTGGATCAATCCCACCTTTACCCAGTATCTTTGTAAAGAACCAATTCAACCCAAAAGCTTACGCTAATGGGTGAGGCTACATTAATGGTTTAATATATCTCAACACGCCCCCTCACACGAGAGTCCACTGGGCTTGAAGGGTGGACAATGCACAGGCCCACCTACCTATGCTAAGAAATCCATAAGAGAAAATGGGGGGCGGTGAGGATCGAACTCGGGACACGAAGCTCTGATACCATGTAAAGAACCAATTCAACCCAAAAGCTTAAGCTAATGGGTGAGGCTATATTAATGGTTTTATATATCTCAACAATCTTCACACGGTCCGGCGAGAAGGGAGCATCACACATGAAGCACAAATTCCACCACCGCTTCTCATTCGTCTTTTCTGACCCAAATGACGTAGAACCCTTATTGTTTCTTTCTTCTTCAGTTTCGTTGTTCACCTTTTCCACTTCAATTTCATCCTCTTCTTCTTCGACAAGTTTTTCTGCATCTTTTTTTGTGTATTCCTTTGCTTCTGTTTCGGCTTTTTGTTGATCTATTTCTTTTTCTTTTTCTACATCCGCTTCTTCTATTACTCCATTGCTTTCATTTGTATCCGTTTTGGATCTTGTTACCGCCACTTGGAAACTTTCATGTCCCTTTGCTTCTTTTTTCATTAGAGCTTCTAGTTTCTCTTCCCAAGCATCTATGATTTTTATCATCTACTCAAACAACTCAATGACCTCTGATGTGCTTACTTTCTCCAAAGCTTTAAGATTTATTTTTTTTACAGTTCTAGACCATATAGCACTCCCAAGATCGGAAATGATCTAATACCAAATTGATGGAACCTCAATTTGATATAAAGAAGAAACCAGATACAGATTAACAGACAATTACAATAATAACAAATAAGAGGGAAAACTCCACTCCAAGACAACAATCTAGCCTTGAGAACTTCCCTATTTCCTCTCCTTACCACTCCCCATGAAACCCGACTAGCGAGTGTGGGGTGGAGAAAATCCTTGTACGCAGCCTTACCCTTGCATAATTGCAAAGAGGCTCTTTCCCGGATTCGAACCCATGACCTTTCAGTCATGAAGGAACTGTTTTACCACTGCTCCGGTTCGCCTCCTTTTCCCTATTTCCTCTCCTAATTCCCCAAATTACAAATGATATTCAGCCTAAAGAAACCCCACCCTAAACATCTATATATAACTAATTCCTAACTAATGGGCTTAGATACTTTATTAAAGGCCCATCAGTGACAAACAAGTCCCCAGGCCATTCACAATTGCTTTGGAAATAATTTGAAGAAGGAACCTAAATATCATCTCACAATCAACAACCAATACAGTGAGGGCTAAACAATGAACAACAAAAATCATGATGACCAAACCTGATCCATGAACAGCAATGAGCACCAGAACTGCAGTGGTTCAAGCTCAATCCATTCAAATAGGTCACTACAAAATAAGCAATACAAAGAGTTAGATAGAACAAGATGCATCAGTTTATTGTCATTTAAAGTTGAATTTGCTAAAATTGAAAAAAGACCCGCATAAGTGATTCTTTCACCACAACTTTACGTTATCCAGTTAAAATTGTAGATTCTTCATTCTTATATGAGGTTGTGGGCAAAAGTTTCCAACTTCTGCTATCTTTAGGTTGAATCATCACATAGACAACAAGAGTTTTATATAATAAAAGAAAATATGATACATTTTTATGGCTTTTGCAAGACAGACCTAGATTGTATAATTTTTAACAAACTGTCACAGTAAGCTTTGGCTGCAGACATATCATATTTCCCTGTGTCAATAATAATCTTTGAGAAGTTTGCAAATACAATTGTTGCACCCAATTTGCGGAACTCTGCCAACAGCAATGCGAAGACCTTTTGCATGACCTAGCAATATCAATGCAACCACATGACATGAGAGACAATTGATTAAGAGGTTCTAACACAGATATATAAATCACAATGAAATGAACTCAACAGGGTCAACAGGCCTAAATCCAAAACAATTAACAGGAAGGAAAATATTGTATCATCTCAGCGAATAATCGAATTCACTAAAGCCATTTTGTTTGCTTTATCAAATTAACTAGTAAATTTTGGAAAGATAAATAAGAGATGAATTTCATTACATGCATCATGCGGCATCTTTTAATGTATAATTATTTACCTTGTGGAGTAGCTGGTGAAGAGCTGGATCATGAAGTTTTGATTCAGGGCTGCAACGTGGGAAGGAATGCAGTAATTACATGAATCAAATAGAAGACGATGGTAAACAAATAAAGATAGTAAAACCTGCAAAGCCATCGATATAGATGTTGCAATACTGCATCAGCATAAACATTTCCAGATGTGACTGCATCCGCAAGGCATCGCTGGATCAACTGTTTTAGGACTCGAAAGGCATGTGTACATGAGGTAGACTCATCAAAGCCACTATCAAATCCTAACAAAGCACCTCCTTCCATTTCATTAACCTGATTGCATTTAAGAAGAGCATCTACAGCGAGGTGGTGTATCTGCAAAAATAAAAATAAAATCCCCATGAAGTTATAAAAGCTTGGCTCAACTGGTGAAAGTAACTTTAGATTATCGAACCTTTAGCTCCACCGTAACTTTTCTATAAGCTCCAGGATACGTAAGAACAGGTTGGTGGACCTATTTCCAAATAGCACAGCGGTCAATTTCAGAGGACCAAATATGAGCATACTAAATCATTAAATAATAACTAATAATAAGGGAAAACTCTTCCCGGGTGATACTTATAGCACGGTTTAGGCACCTGCACTATTTTTCTGCAAACAATTTGAACAATCTCAGTTTAAAATCTGATCATTATGTCATGGAGAGAGATTAATTAATTCATTATTAAACTGCAACTAAAACTGGTGGATGTCCTCCCACAGAACAACAGCATTTAACCAAATAAGAACAATTTAACACCGGTGATCATGTTAAAAAAAGCGGAAACTTCATCACAAAAAAAATAAAAAAATAAAAATCCAGAGTGGTTATTATATCATAAGTGTCATTGTTCAAAAGGTAGTTATGGGGAAAAAATAGTATAGGAACTAAAAAAGGGAACTAGGAATCATTTTTATTACCAAATAATAATAATAACAAATGCTTAAGAACGCATAATAGTAAAGCTCTGCAAAAGCGAAAAGAGGAAAACATTAAAGGTATGCAAAAAATTGGGTCATTAAAAATCCAAATATTTATATGACAGACCTCGTCAGCAAAACAGTTATCTTCAACATTAATGCCATCTACATCTGGAAGACCGTCATCAGAAATCCAAAGTACCTGTATGAATGAATATCTTTTAAGAGACAACTATGGTTGTAATAAATCAATCTTTTTTTTCTTTTTTTGAAAGGGGGGTTGGGGGGTAAAAGGGGAAGGACGATTCACGGGATAGAAAAATCATGATCAGGCTAGTGGATCCATCACAAGCGAAGTCAGTTCAGTAAGTTTCAGTTGATAACTTCAGATTCAAGAACTTAAAAATCAAAATCAGAACCTGTTGATTATCATGCAACGCTCTTGAAAAAAAGGTATCCGCTGTAAATATAAGCCAGTCAAGTTCAAAGTTCCCCAGTGGTACCTGCAAAAGGAATTCATATGCATATGCAAAATAAAAGATGGGAAAATTACAAAATAGAACCTCTCAATAAAAAATCCCACTTCTAAGAACAAATTATCACTCAGCCTGTTAACGTTGTGCAAGTAGAGCTGCATATGTTTTTACTTATTGGCTTAATCTACCACTTTAGTTCGGTAAATATATCCTTTTTTCTTTTGTACTTTTCCCAAAGATATGCTGCTAAAGATTTGGAGTGATTACATGGGCATATCTTGATAAAGCAATTCTTTCATTTAGCCACTGGACAGATGCTGCACAACGTTGCATTCCAATTTTAGCAGCAACTTGTTGCCATCCAAGAATCTAAAAAGAGCCCAAATTAAGTATGTTAAAAAAAGGCATAAAAGACATCTAAATACTAACTTGCTTCAGAAGGACCATCTGTTTCAAAACATTTTTACCTGATATTGACTATCACGGGCATTTGAAGGAATACTCAGGCATGGAAAATCATCTAGAGCTCGGATGCCCAATTTTACTAGTTGAACATTTGGGCATTCAATGACAGCAACCATAGGCCCATGATGTTCGCTCCTATGAACAAGATTAACAGAGAAGAGAAAAATAATTCAGTCCAAAGGATGTAAATATAAAAATAAATTTTGACATTTTAGAACTTTCAGAGCATATAGAACATCGGTAAAGAATAGAATTGTAAAACCTCAAAAACTTACAAAGATTATTTTGAGATTAAGCATTGTTAAAATTTCAAGCAGTTACTACTCTTAATCTTCTTTTGAACATTTAGTGTAACACTGATGGGCCCCTAATGCCTTTTAATCAATATTATAAACGCAGGAGAGCTAAGGCCCAAGTGGAAGGAAACATCAAAGAGGCCCAATCTGATGGCACAAGCACGAGAGAGAGGGGAAGCAAGGAAGCAGAGCAGGGAAGCCACAAGAAGCAGCAATCAGTTATAAACAATGCCACGTGGAATGTTGTGAATGGAGAGGGTCACGTGGGGGAGGGGGCTGTGGCGAGTAGGGAATAAGAGAGACGGTTAGGAGGAAGGGGGGATTATTCTGAAAAGTGGAGAGTAAGGGTAGCACCTGAACTTGTGGTTCAGTGTGGTAAGGGTGTGTGGAATTGTTGTAAACGGGTGACTTGAGTGTGATAGTTATGGAGTTTGTAAGGGCAGTATGATGGCCTGGTATTCGTGAGTAATTGTTAAAGGATATATTCTTGATTGTAAAGGACAATGTCCTAGTAGTATAGCTAATACTCATTATTTTCTTGTTCGTGCTGTAAGGGGTTGTTTCCCATGACCTTTTATAATCAATAGAAGTAATTACCGTTGTTATCCTTTGCTTAATCGATCCTTTTATAGCCAACGTATTGAAATTCTTATTGTTGTTATTAAAAGATAAGTGGTGCCATTAATTTGGTATCAAAGCACTTTACCTGGGAAAATTGTGAATGGTGTTGACACGAAACATGGATCATCGAATGGAAGCGTTGGAAGCAAGAGTTGCGGGAACAGAGAAGGGAATCCATTGTATTGAAGCTAATTTGTCTGATATGATGCGTACCCTTCAGGAGCTTGCAGTCGCTGGAAATGAAGGCGGGACAAATGAAAGAGGAGGCGGTCATCAGGAAGGAACAAACGGGGAACTTCATCGCTTGTTGAGGGATGAAGAAAGGATGAAAAGAGTGGAGGTGCCATATTTCAATGGAGACGATCCGTATGGGTGGATTTTTCGAGCGGAAAGATATTTTCGTATCAATCATATTCCCGCTGAGGAACAAGTTGAGACCGGATCTATATGCTTGGAGGGTCGTGCGTTAAGTTGGTTCCAATGGTGGGAGCCGCGAAAGCCTACGATGAATAGGGAGGGCCTCCGAAACGCCATTCTACAGAGGTTTCATGTGTCTTCTACAGGGAACCCATATGAGGCGTTGATGGGACTGAGGCAGGAAGGAACGGTGGCCGAATACAAGGAGAAGTTTGCGATATTGTCAGCACCGTTGAGGAATGCACGTGACGATATGATGCAAGCAGCGTTTCTAACGGGTTTGAGGAAGGAGATTCGAGCTGAGGTGAGGCTCCATTCCCCTGTGGATTTGAATCAAACCATGATGCTAGCTCAGAAGGTGGAAGAAAGGGAGAAAGAGTTGGGGAGGGTGACGATGGAGTGGAAAAGGGGAAATGGGTTTGGGGGATCATACACGGGCCGGTCAGCATTGCCAGGGAGAAACGGGCCCAATAAAATGGGTCTTTCACCAATAACTCAACAGCCCAAGTTAATAACGCAACGCAGGGAGCTTCAACGTCCGTAGCGAGTGTGAGCCCTAATCACCCAAACTTGAACACGACAACGCCAGGGGGAAGCCATTCGTCCGTCTGCGGTGGCATGGGGTCACAGCGGTCGAACTATAGGAGGCTAAGTCAGATAGAGATGGATGACAGACGAAGGCGAAACACTTGCTTCAAGTGTGACGGACCATATGGGCCGAGACACGTTTGTCAGTACGCTCATTTGAGTGTGTTGATATTAGGAGAAGTCACGGTGGAGCACGAAGTACAAGATGTGGGAGAGGGGGAACAGGAAGAAGCGATCCAATTGAGCATGCAAAGTGAGGTGGGGTGGACGTCGAACAGGAGTCTGAAACTGTGGGGACGCTTAAAGAGCCAAAGAGTGGTGATTCTTATTGATACAGGGGCTTCTCACAACTTCGTAGCTGAGAAGTTGGTGAACGCTCTTGGCCTGCCAATAGACGAGACACGGAATTCCAAGGTAGAAGTGGGCGATGGACATCGAGTGGGCAGTAAGGGAGTATGCAAGGGACTATGCTTGGAGTTGCAGGTTTGTCGATAAGTCAAGATTTCTTTGTTTTCAACTTGAATGGTGTGGATTTGGTTCTGAGTTTTACCTGGTTGGAGGAATTGGGGGAGATCCGAGCTAATTTCAAGGAGTTGTTGCTGGAAATTCTTTGGCAAGGGACTGTAGTCAAGCTTAGGGGAGACCCAACTTTATCATGCAAGCAGATTTCAAGTAAAAGAGTGAATCGTTCTTGGAAGAAAAATGACGAGAAGTTTTATGTGGAATTGGGTTTAATTTCTTTGAATCCAAGTTCCCTTGAAGGGGTACCATCCCAAATCTCAGAAATGCTTCAGGAGTATCAAGTCGTGTTTCAGTTGCCTTCAGAATTACCTCCTAGTAGGGGCTGTGACCACCAAATCATCTTGAAGGAGGGAGCGGAGATACCCAATGTGAGGTCATACTGTTACCCACATTATCAGAAGGAGGAAATTGAGAAATTCATAAAGGAGATGTTGACTGCAGGAATGATAAGGCCTAGTAACAGCACTTACTCTTGTCCGCTGATCATGGTTAAAAAGAAGGATGGAAGTTGGCGGTTTTGTATGGACTATCGCGCTTTGAATAAAGTGATTGTAACTGATAAGTTCCCAATTCCTGTCATTGACGAGCTTCTGGATGAGTTGAATGGGGCTAACATTTTTTCCAAGCTGGATTTGAAATCGGGATATAATCAAATATTGATGAAGGTGGAAGACATTGAGAAGACAGATTTTCGCACGCATGAGGGGCACTACGAGTACCTAGTAATGCCATTTGGGTTGAAAAATGCTCCATCAACCTTCCGATCGTTGATGAATGCCATTTTTAAACCTCATTTGCGTAAGTTCATCTTGGTATTTTTTGATGATATCTTGGTGTACAGCCAAGATGAGAAACAACATGAGTATCATCTTCGAGTAGTGCTTGAGATTTTGAAGCAGCAAAGACTTTTTGCTAACTATAAAAAGTGCAGTTTTGCTAAGGAAGAATTGGAGTATCTGGGTCACGTGGTATCTAAGGAAGGTGTTAAAACAGATCCACAAAAGCTGCAAGCTGTACAAATGTGGCCAGTGCCTCGAAATTTAAAGGAGTTGCGGGGGTTTTTGGGACTTACCGGGTATTATAGGAGGTTTGTGAAGAGGTATGGTCATATAACCAGACCCCTCACGTATTTGTTGAGGAAAGATTGTTTTTTATGGGACGAAGAGGCACAAAAGGCTTTCGAAATGTTGAAGGCTGAGATGGTGAAGCTTCCTATGCTGGCCTTACCCAATTTTAAGGAGACATTTGTGGTCGAAACGGATTCTTCTGGTGTTGGTATGGGGGTTGTCCTTATGCAAAAAGGGCGTCCTATTTCTTTTTTGAGCCAAGCTTTTTCTGACCAAGCAAAGAAGTTGTCTGTCTATGAGAGGGAATAGAAGGCTATAATGTTTGCAGTCCACAAGTGGCGTCATTATCTGTTAGGGAGACACTTTAATATTAGGACCGATCAACGCAGCCTCAAGTATTTGACGGAACAAAGGTTGATAGCGGAGGGCCAACAAAAATGGATAGCCAAACTGATGGGGTTTGATTTTGAAATTCAATTTAAGCCAGGGGAAGAAAATAAGGCCGCTGACACCTTGTCTAGAGTAATGGAGTGCAAGGAGTTGACCTTGGTAAACAGTCCCGATTTGCAAGATATAGCTGAGGAGGTCTTATATGATGTGTCCACACAAAAAATAATTACGGAAGTGTTACAGGACGCTCAATCACACCCTGGATATCAGGTAATTAAGGGTTGTTTGTGGTTCAAAAATCGGTTCGTGTTGCCCAAAAATTCAGCACAAATCCTTGCAATCCTATTTGAGTTTCACTCTTCTCCTTTAAGGGGTCACTCAGGGGAATTAAGAACTTTCAAAAGGATTGTTGTTGTGTTCTACTGGAAGGGGATGCGTAGAAGGGTGGCTGATTTTGTAAGGCAGTGTGGAATTTGCCAACAGCAAAAATATGAGGGGCTGCTGCCTACTGGCCTTTTGCAGCCACTGCATGTGCCAGAAAAAGCATGGGAAGATGTAACAATGGACTTTATTGGAAGTTTACCAAAGTCTCAAGGAGTTGACACCATCATGGTAGTAGTAGATAGACTAACCAAGTACGCGCACTTCTTAACCTTGAAGCATCCTTATCAGGCTCAGGATGTTGCAGAGTTATTTGTGAGAGAGGTTGTCCATCTACATGGCTTCCCTAAGTCTATTGTTTCAGATAGAGACCGGGTGTTTATGAGCTTGTTTTGGAAGAAGTTATTTCGAATGTCAGATACTAAGTTACGTTTTAGCTCCTCTTATCATCCTCAAACGGAAGGACAGTCCGAAGTAGTGATAGAACTGTTGAGACATATCTGAGATGTTTCATTAATGGTCATCCTCGCGGTTGGGCTAAATGGGTATCTTGGGCTGAATTTTGGTTCAACACAACTTATAACCGGTCAATTGGCATGACACCCTTTAAGGCTGTGTATGGGCAAGACCCTCCTTCCTTGTTTCGTTTTGAAAAGGGGGGAACTTAGGTAGATACATTAGATTGCTAGAGATGCAGTGGTGGATGATCTCAGGCAGAATCTAAATAGAGCACAACAGCGCATGAAATTCCAAGCAGACCAGAAAAGAAGAGAGGTTCAGTTGGCAGTAGGGGACAGTGTGTTCTTGAAGATACAGCCTTATAAGATGCGTTCTTTAGATAAAAGGATCAATCAAAAATTGAGCCCACGTTTTTATGGACGTTTTAAGGTAGTGGAATGTGTTGGGGCAGTGGCCTATCGTTTAGAGCTTCCTTCATATTCAAAGGTACACCCCGTATTCCATATTTCTAAACTTAAACTTGTTGTTCAGCCGATGGTGCCCATAGTACCATTACCAAGGTGTTTGGATGATACCTTGGAGCTTAATGTTCAACCTGTGGCAATCCGTGATTCTAGGAGGTTGATGAATGGGAAGGTGGAGTTATTGGTGCAATGGGAAGCACTTTCTGACTGTGACTGCACATGGGAGGATTTGGAGGTGTTTAGGCATCAATTTCCTTCTTTTCACCTTGAGGACAAGGTGACTCTTCCAGGGGGGAGTATTGATGACCCCTAATGCCTTTTAATCAATATTATAAACGCAGGAGAGCTAAGGCCCAAGTGGAAGGAAACATCAAAGAGGCCCAATCTGATGGCACAAGCACGAGAGAGGGGAAGCAAGGAAGCAGAGCAGGGAAGCCACAAAAGGCAGCAATCAGTTATAAACAAGCCATGTGGAATGCTGTGAATGGAGAGGGTCACGTGGGGGAGGGGGTTGTGGCGAGTAGGGAATAAGAGAGACGGTTAGGAGGAAGGTGGGATTATTCTGAAAAGTGGAGAGTAAGGGTAGCACCTGAACTTGTGGTTCAGTGGGGTAGGGGTGCGTGGAATTGTTGTAAACGGGTGACTTGAGTGTGATAATTATGGAGTCTGTAATGGCAGTATGATGGCCTGGTATTCGTGAGTAATTGTTAAAGGATATATTCTTGATTGTAAAGGACAGTGTCCTAGTAGTATAGCTGATACTCGTTATTATTTCCTTGTTCGTGCTGTAAGGGGTTGTTTCCCATGACCTTTTATAATCAATAGAAGTAATTACCGTTGTTATCCTTTGCTTAATCGATCCTTTTATAGCCAATGTATTGAAATTTTGATTGTTGTTATTAAAAGATAAGTGGTGCCATTACACGTATACAATAGACTCATACAATGAACTCCCCTGGTACTTGACGGTGTCAAATATGGAATCTATTGATTAAAAAATCAGGACCGGACCATATTTATATATAAACTCATGCTACTAGCTTATCTACTCTACTCAAAAGATTCAGAATCTTGCTTCAGCATGTTGATGAACGGGGAATGATATAGTTCAAAAACATGTTCTGCAAGAAAGACTAACTAAAGAATTTGAAGTTAAAGATCTTGGGAAGTTGAGATATTTTCTTGGGATAGAAGTTGCATATTCAAGGCAAGGTATCTTTATTTGTTAAGGAAAGTATATCCATGATCTCCTTAAGAAAGGAGGAAAACTTAGGTCTAAACCTTCCGTTGTTCCAATTGAACAATACCATAAATTAAGAAGTGAAAAGGAGAGTCCTTCGATTGACAGAAGACAATATGAATAACTAGTTGGGAAGATTGATATATCTGGCTCTTGTATGATCTAGCCAATTCATGCATGACCCCAAGGATAAAGTCTTGCATGCAGTAGACTAAATTGTCCAGTATCTTAAGGACACAACTAGGAGAGGACTGTTATTCAAGAGAGTTGGAAAACTATCGTTAGAGGTAAATACAAACGTTGATTATGTTGGGTTAATGATTGGTCGACGATTAACCTCGAGTTATTGCATGTTTCTTTGTGAGAACCTAGGAACATAGAGGAGTAAAAAACAAAATGCAGTTGCTAGGTCGAGTGTAAAGGAGGATATTCAAGCTATGGCCCAAGGTATTTGGCAACTCATGTCTGGAAATCATCCTAGATGGCCTCAAAGTGAGATGTGAAGCTACTCTATGATAACAAGTCAGCCATTTGTAAAGCGCGCAATCCGGTTCTAACACGATTGGACAAAGCATATTGAAATTGACCGTCACTTCATCAAAGAGAAGCTACATAGCAGACTAATTAGTACTTCATACATCTCTTCTGGTTGCCAATTAGCTGATGTCTTGACCAAGGGGCTTCCCATCGATAAATTTCAAGAACTTACTAGCAAGCTGGAAATGATAATCTATTTCTCAGCTTGAGGGGAGCATTATAGATTATGTAATTATTGTATTTTATTTTTTCGGGCTTTGTTTCTTTGGCCCAATCTCTATAAATAGTGTAACCCTCTGTACATGTTTTCTTTGAGAATCAATAATATATTTGATTTCTCCTGTCAAGGAATTAAGGTAATGACTTTAATTGAGGGTCATGCAACCAACTCTCCCAAACGCTTAAATTGTTAAGTGAAGGCAGATGAATGATTTTATGTTTTTTATATTATATTTCTAACATGCCTCTTCACAGAAGAGTTAATTGGGCTTGATGGTGGACAATGCACATGCTTACCTATATGTGCTAAGAAATTCCATAATATTTATTAGACTAGTGGGAGCGGCAAAGATGGAACTCTAGACCATTTGGTCTTAGAGGCTCTGATACAATGTCATGTAACCAACTCTCATAAAAGCTTAATCTGATAGGTGAAGACAAATGAATGGTTATGTGTTAAAAATTATATTTCTAGCGAGGGAGTTTTGGGTTTATGGTCTTAGATGAGATTTCAATCGTTATGTTGTCTTGAACAATTCATGAACAGACTTTATAATGAGTAATGGCCTCTCTGCAGAACAATTTGACAAAAAACGATACATCATTATGCAATCTTAACCGAATACATATATCAGAGAAACTACTAGGGTACATTGAGGACCCTATAGAAGGAAATGACCGGTAAGTAACAATAGTTACCGATAATTTTTAACAACAAAAATAATGTCTCGAAGGAAAGTAGAATAAGCTGTTCCAGATATTATGTAACTACAGATGATGGAAAAACGAGTTGGTGTGGAATTCAGCTGGTACTTTCATATGATATTCAAGTGACTAGATTCATAGAAACCAAACAAGGGAAGGCCCGGGGATATATTTCACTGATAGTAGTGTATAGGAAAGAAGCAGGGATGAGATTTATCAACCACTTCATGTAAATGGAGAAGGGTTGAGACTTAAAAACTTTGGGGATTGAAATCACCTTCGTATGGCGATAAATTTTCTTACTCACATACAGATTATAACATTTCACATAGTAATAATTAGGGTATATGCTGTTAACTTTTGTTTGCACTAACCAGCAAAAGGAATCTGTACACAACTGAAAAAGCATGGTAACATATTTTTAAAAGAAAACCTAAGTTGCACTACTTTCAGCATTATAGTAAACTAAGATATGGGGGGGGAAAACCTGTGATCATTTATTGCTCTTTGTATCACTGTTTCAGCATCCTTGACATGTGCAACATAGTCCACCTGAATGTAGGACATTATTATACCCATAAACAAGAAAATAGATAAGCACATAGACACTTACATGGAGAAATTTAAAAAGATAAAAACTAATTAAAAGAACATCTATAAATTAGATATTAAGATCTATTGCAAGGAAACAAAATTATGATTAGAGAAATGTGGCAGATTTACCTTAAAATTAATGCCATTCCTCGGAGGTGGCTCAATAGAAAAAGCTTGGCAAGCATCGTGAAATTGTCTTTCAAGAAAAGTTGGTGATAAATCTTTGTTTTGATATGGATTAACTGCCACAACAGTTATTGCTTTTGATGCAGGAAAATATCCAACATATATAGCCCGTCCCTCAGAGATGCTGAAGTTAATAATAGAACATTACTTGTAAAACTACTTTCAAAGATATCATGCAAAGCACGGGAAAGGCAATAAATTTATTGTCAACGCAATACAATTCTGTTTTAAACACAAAAATGAGTGACAAAAGCAACTGAGAAAATATCTCTATAGACATTGGGCCTCCACTTACCTATGGTACAAGTAAAAGAAGGATATGGATTGTTCGAGATAAGCGCATTCTGTTGTGGTCTTCATGTGCAATTCACTCAAATTCCATGGGTCTTGTAGACTACGTTTTTTAGAAGTCTTGTCCACCTTACATACACAACCAAGCTGGACTATAGCGTTAAACTCCAGTGGCATCTTGGTTTCATATATTCCCTGACAAAAAAATTGCATCCTCCTAGTTAAATTCAATATAACTGCAACGATCAAATACATTTTACATAATGGAAGTAAAACGGGTAGTATGAGCTCTTCAATGTACCCTAATATACTAATCGAAGGAAGGTATTAAAATAATAAGATGTGAATGATGTGTATCAACTGTTTTGAAGATGGAGTTATACAAACTCAAAAATGGAAGATGGAGTTTAATATCAAATATCATACAAACATATGTGATTGGAAGTAATGATTCAGATTTGAAAGAACTACCATTTTATCCAACAATATAACAGTTGCTCACCATTAGGAACAGAACAAAGGCCTTTTGCACATTGCCACGGCCATATCAATATGCTTCAAGAATTTAAGACTTAAAAACCGATTCAAATTGCAAATTTTACCAGTCAATAACGAATAAGGTCTACATCTACAGCATGAACAAATATAATTTGCTTATCTAAATAAGGTAAACCTGTATCAAAATGAAAGAGACTCTGAGCCAGGAAAAATTGCAGAATGAAGAGAGCATATTACTGCCTCGATATATTCAAAAGAAGAAACAATGTAGTCGAGAAAATTTTTTCTGAGGCCAATCAAACTCTTACAAATAAAAGGCATACAACACAGAAAAGATTACTCATAACAACCCCACCCCACCCCCAAAAAAAAGAAAGAAAAAAAAAACAGAGACAACCTTTTATTTGTTGATGTCTAACCACAAATTACAACAAGAATTGGTGGTACATCATATTACTAATCAAATTATAGGTGATACAACAAATTGTCCACACAGAAAAGAAAAGAAATATACTTAGATGATTAATGAGTATGCTGACCTCAACATCAGGATCTGCCAAAAGAGCTGCAAGTTTTTTACTTGCTTCCCTATATTGAACTTCATTAATTGTGACCTGCAAAATTTCCAAAGCAATATCAATACCTTCAAATGAGAAAATATAACAAAAGAACCATAAAAAATTCTATTTAGAAAAACAAGCAATAATACCACACCTCATACAGGTTATAACTATGTCTTCCATGGGGAAGAGTCTTGTTGACACGTTTGCCCAAAAATTCTTCAGTAATTGGTGATCTAGAATTGAGATAAAAGACTCTAGGAACAGAAAGAGGAATCTTAAGCATAATCCCGTCAACAACCACCCAAGCAAAAAATTGGCCAATCTGTGAACTTTGAACTAGCTGTATTATCTGAATCACAAGATTAGAATAAGGAAATCAAAACATCATACAGTGATGCTGTAAAACAGACTACTTCAATACAAAATTAACATTACCTGCCAGTGGCAACGTGTTAGGACTACCTCATGATTTCTGAAATATGAACTGACATTACTCCTGCCCTTCATCTTACCATTCGTTTGTTCAAGTATGCCATTCACATGGTCAGAATTCTTTGAATTCTCCAATCTGAGAAAATCAGTGCTCTTCCTTATTACCAATCAATAATATTTGGGAGCTCACACAATGATGAACTTAGATATCTATCACAACAGTCAGATTTTCATCCAGTAAAAAGAGGTGCAATGGATGGGGTAAAGAAGGACAGGCAGATCACTGTTCACTGCGTCTGATACCATGTAAAGAATCAATTCAACCCAAAAGCTCAAGCTATTGGGTGAGGCTACATTAATGATTTTATATATCTCAACAGAATATATTAGTAAGTATTACAATTTTCAAGATGTAAACATAAGACTTTCATCACAAGATTCTGAAACAAAATAATTGCCCAATATATGGGAACACAAACTTATATAATTTGGCTAAATGCCCTCTATTAGCTTTTTCTGTGCCGCCATTATTAATTAACATATTCTTTGGTGGTTGGTAATAAAATTAAAAGCATAATGCAGCAAACGAATTCATTATTAGTAGAAGATCCACCAGGCATATATTTAATACATTGTTTTAGCTCTCTCTTTCAGACAACCCAAGATTATATTTTGGGACATGCTCTTCAAAGGAGAACCCCTTCCAAAGAACTTCCTATATATTGATGCATGAACTGTGATACATAGGTAGAAATGAGCACTTTACCTTCGCTTCTTTCTCCTTTCCAGAATATATTTCCACTTTCTCTTCTTTATTTGAAGCCATCCTTGATAATCTACAGTTCTATCAACATTTTCACCTGATATTTCACTTTCTTGTAATAGTGAAAGTGGCTGATCCTTGCTGTTATTGTCATTATGTTGTTGCTCCGAATCTTCTTGACCATTGAGCTTCACTGAATGCCGTTTAATATTAGCTTCAAGATGCCGCACAATTGGTCTAGGTCCACATGTAGAACTACTACCCATGTTTCCAAAGTCCTCCAAGTCATTAACAGTCTCTTCATGCACCGCAAGGGAGACACCATTAGAATTAATATGCCTTTTTGAGTGCTCATCCCTCTTCATTGAGTTAAATGCATCAACTATTTTTCTTTGGCGAAACTTGTCCTCCTTCTCACGGACCTTCTTATGCAACCAATCAGGATGAACTACCCTAGGGACAGGATTTGCAACCTGCAAGCATTAAACTCATTTTCAGAAAAAATAAGAACAAACAAAAATGGGTTTTTTAAACAGGCAGACAGAAAAATTCAATAAACCTTTTGCATTGCAGCAGGAATAGTAATGATTTTTTGAATTGCAGAACTAAGCCGCCCCTTGTAATAGGACCAGTCAATTATGGATCGAATGCCAACATCTGATGAAACCTTGCACCATTTTCGGACATAGAACTTCATTACTTCTGCGAACATTAAGCATGCATTTCCTTATTTAGAATGCAAACAAGAATAAAATTGTTATTTGTTACTAAAAAACAAGAAAAACTTGCCAGCATCAGTTTCAAATATTGCCACAGGAACAGCACGCTCACTTACAGGTGTTCCCTGAAAGACAATGACTTTTCTAGATTATAGTCACTAAGTGATAAACAAGCAGATTATTGTGGGTGATAGAAAAAGAGGAAATATTTATAATTTACGAATTTTCCATATTATACATGGATCACACCTTAGGTTCACTTGCTACTATGTACTGACATCGAAGACCTTTATCTTTAACCATTGTATCACCAAGAAAGTTGGCGAGACGTTTAGCAGTGGTAACAGCACAAGACTTCTGCTCACCATAATCAGCTAAAGACTTGCTCATTGTACTTGATTCTGATATATAATCAAGCAATTCACTATCTGCAATATCCTTTCCTTGGTTCTGCATGACAGAAAAGTTTGAAAAATTAAGGAAATAAAAAAGTTGTATCTGGTCATTATCATCAGTATCTTCAACAAACTAATTTGAGCAAGTATACATTAAAGCTACTAACACATCAATTATACTAGATATCAAACCGTGGATCTTTAGCATACATCAAGAAGATCAAGCCAGCGGTTTGCCACAGAAGCGACAGCTAAATAACATTCCTCTAAAGTTGAGCCATGGAGAAACTTGTCGAAAAGCTCAGCCTGTGTCAAGAAATGTGTTTCACTATAGAAAATGACAGCTTCAAACAATCAATCTAATTTTGCTTTGAGAAACAAATAGCCACTAAAAAGACCTGAACATTGATCAACCAGTTCAAAGTTATGTTTCAGAATTTTTCCAACTTTATGACAACTATGAATAGAAAATCCATTAAGAGGATTATCACAAAGCTATCACATGAGCCAATCTGGTGAATAGTCACCCACCAAGAGTAAGCATAATTTTTAAAATACCAATTTCTATCCCCCACTCCAAAAAAAAAAACCTTCTAGTAGCTAATAAATAGCACTTATACCACTTTAACTAGTTCTAGTTCCCCAGATGCATGCATCCTTATTTCAGTCTTGTATTAGAAACAATGACAGCTTTATCATTCCATCATGTCAGAGGCATCAGGAAGAAAGTAAGAATACATATCTTCATCATTATCAAATATTGTAGTATGGCTCTGTGCTTGAAGCTAATTATCTTTATCAACATACCTGGAAAACTTTGATTAGCTTCAGTTCACCTCTGCGCTTGATCTCAAAACCTTTCAGCTCAGCAAGGGTTCCATCATCATTGAAAACAGCATATCTCTTCTTAATTAAAATTCCCTCTTCCTTAGAAGCAGGAAGGATCATTGCCTACATCAAGCAAACCATAGAAGTCATTTATACATAGGCTATATAGTGAAACACAAATATTTAAATCATAAACTACAGCTCCATTTTACCTTGTATGGCCCGTCCACCTCAAATTCAATAGAGCATTCACTCTGAGTTGTATAAGTTTTCCTAATTGGATCTGTGAGTGTCTGTCAAAAAATTGAAAATTGAAAGAATGAAGTAATCAGACATAAAAGCAAAGTAATTGAACTCTACTTACAGCAAACACAGAAGTAGAAGCACTTGTATTGTATAGTGAATTAAATAATTTAAAAATAAAATTACAAGCTGACCTGGTACTGATCATTTGTATTATTTATTGCCACATCAACATTAAGCATAACACAAGGGTATGAAATTGTGAACTTCCTCTTTGAATCTCTGAAATGCATCAAATATGAGTAAGTATCTTCAGATTTCTAACAGCATTTGAAACTGTTGAAAATTAGATAGAGAAAATAATGGTTTGGAAGAAAGACAGAGAAAGTAAAAAGTAAGAAGGATGAAGCACAATTAATTGCCTACATCCTACACCTCGAATCATACTAATTGCAGGAAGAATGTTACCAGAATATTAAATCATCCTAATTAGCGGATAAGCACCCAAATCAATGTTCCTTAATTTTGGCAGTAAAAAATTTCCTGTGTTCTCCTAAAAAAAGAATATCTTGGTGCTATAAAGTTCTCACTATGCGTAGGGTCCATGGAAGGATCAGACCCACTATGTGGGTATATAGTAGGAAGCCTTACTATGGACCCACACAATTGAACAAGTTGTGTAATCTTAAAACAAAATTCAACAAAGATTATCTTAAAATAACGAGCATTCATGCTGCTAAAATAGAAATATTCAATTAAAATTTCAAGACCTACTGTAATCAAATAAACAACCACATAAATCATGAACAGAACATACTTTGTTTTAAAAGTGAAATTTTCTGGAAAAGATCCAGGAAGTGCACACCAGATACCATCCGTGTCTAGTTCAAGTGGTTTTCCTATTTTCTCTACCAGCAAGCGGGCATTCTGAATGATTTTTGCACCAGTGTATGTGACTACTCCAGCCATTTCCATGGAGTACCATCTTGCACCTCTGTAAGATAAATATTGATGCACAACATGATTGGGGAGAAAACATAGCAAGAAAATGTTATTAAATGAATGATGAAACTTCATGAACATATGCTAAACAATATACTCACTTGCGCATGACATATCCATAAAAGGAATTAAGTATACACTTGTGAGCAAGTTGCAATGAATCATATAGCACTACCATATCCTGGTGCATAAAATAAAATAATATGAAATTCCAACATAGTAACATATTGATCATAGCAAATTGAGTAAATTATGCAAGAATCAACAAGCCTATTTTTAAAATCCATACTTGTGCTTCCTGGATCTTCATAGAATTTCCACTGGCTTTGGCCTCTGATAATTTTCCCTTCCAAACTTTATTAAGGCCTTTATATTCATATCTTCTATCTCGGAAACTTGAACCAAATAGCACAAAATCTGGGCTTAGTACAACAAGCACCAAAAAAATGACGCAAGAGAAGCTTAAAGAGATTCTCTTAAGGTTCATCAGACCACTGTTAAATCTATAAGCTGTATAACAAATATGTTCCACAGATTATAAACATAAAAGGTTAAAGGACATACCATCTGCTACAAACTACATAGGTAAAGGTTAACTTTATTATTCAAAATTAATCTTCAATGATCTTAACTCACCTGCGAACAGTGTCAACATAAAATGGATTTTCACGCATGCAGATTCCTGCTTCACGAAGTTCAGTAACTGGTTTGTTAAGTACCCGTTTATATGCCTGTGGAAGCCACCATGATTCAGTATGTCATACATTCTTTAAACAAGCATGTTCAATAAAACAGTCATAACCTTCTGGCAGTATTTCTTTAATCGCTCTTTTAGTCTTGATTGTTGCTCTGCCTTGGGCAGGTCAAGAAAAGATTTTGATGACCTCTCAGGAGCACTATCAACAAACTCGGATTCAATCTGCTTCTTTAGATGATAATAGTCACTGAAAGATTTCAAATAGAAGGCCAAGTCAATCATTTATTAAATTTTTCAGAGATGTGCTCAAAAAAATCTGCAGTGCAAACCAAAAAGAAAAGTATGCCTTCTTTTTGCCATGAATGTTTCTCCGCGCCAAACCCACTCAAGCTTGCGTAGACAAGTCTTTCCGGGACGGTTAAAATCACATGCAGTGCAAACCTCATCTGTAACAATTGATGGTGGCTGCAATTAGGAAAGAAGCTTCCTTCAGGAATGGGAGATTTATATTCATCCGAAATTCAGAATTGAGGACGGTAACTCCCAGCGAGACAGAACAAGCAGAAAACATGCATATACTTAAAAAAACATTTGTACATTAAATGCTTATCCACCTTAAACCTTTGGCTATAAAAAGTAAACCAATGTGATAATGCGGTGAGATGCATTGCCTCTATCAACAACCATGAGTGTATAAGACCAGAACAACTCCATGCCACCAGCATACATGGCAGAGGCTACATAAATCCCATATTCCAATTAAATATGCCTCAAACTGCATATTGCAGTAATCTTATCTTTTAATAGTCTTATTCACATTTTTTTTAGAAACCAGCCAAGCAAAATTGAAGAATAACATTAATATTGAAAAACATTTATATCAAAATTAGGCATATACACACATTTTTGTAATGCAGGAACAGCAGACTTGAAATAGATAAAACGATTACCTCTTTTTGTTTCTCTACATGTTTTCTGTTTTGATCCTTAAATTCTTCAAATTATAGTGGTAAAAACTTAATTTTCAGTTTGCAAACCAACTATTCATGCATATTAGCGTAGCTTTTCTACTATAGCAGATAGCTCTTGTTGTATCAGATTCTAACTTGTATTAGTCTGTTAGTCTGTTCTGATACTGTTAGGTTAGTTTGCTAGCTATGTGACAGCTGTATGACTCATTGCTGAGTCATCCGCGTGTATATATATAGTTCTTGTATCAGTTGCTGTGTGTAATACATCATTCTTCTCAATTCAGAATACAATGAGTTTCTCTCAGATTCCTCTTTTCTCTCGCTTTCTCAGACTTTCTTCCATTTTCTTGATGCAACTCGCACATTTCTAATAATGCACTAAAGAGCAATATTATAAATACCAATCTCATCATACCTGAAGGCGGTTTGTTAAAATTATGTTTGGATACATAGCAGCTACATCCAGATGATAAATGAGGGGGCATTCTTCACGTACTGGTGCATCTCGTAATTTTCCAAGCTGCATGCATAGGGAGAAAAAGGTCATGATAATTTCTTATTGGTGACATGCATATTGTAATTTTCAGTTTTAAACCACGTTAAACAAATGAACAAATCATAGCCACCGTGATGACTTACAAATAACAAGAACTGATTTTGAAAATATAAAATCAAACAATTAAAATACAGATTTAGACATGATTATAGGCAAGTAATAATATATGAAACTGGTCCAGACAAAAATCATAATCAGTACCTTTTCCATGATAGCATTCTTTACTTCATCATAATTAGAGACAGATTCCAAATCCATCTTCCCCTCTACTCTTATAGCATACTGTAGATCTCGATCAAGGTTGTTGATCAATTTCTGGAACCACACCATTCCACAATTAGTGAAGCATATTTGCATAAAGATATTACAAGGAACAGAATTTTAGAACTGAGTTACTAAAGAAAAAGTAGTAAAGTAGTTAAAGAAGATAAAAATAACAAACCTCATAGGCAGAAGGCTCGAGTGTAAAACTAGATGGAATATCAGATCTAAATACACCACTTTCTAGGCATTCCACATGGCCACCTATGTATGTCTCACTCTCGAGAAGATGATTGTTATAAAACTTCTCGGGATCAGATTGGTGTTTGTTAGGGCAGATAACATTAGCCTTGTATGCCTGTGATAGATACAAAATAATTACGAGGGAAACCAAAGGCCTTGAAATGAAAATTCAAGAGAGAATTTCAACTTCAATGAACACTTGCATAAGAGCCCACCTGGACCATGAGCAACATTTCACAGAGGGTCCCACTACCTTTGCGCAAGACCTCATCTGGTGACATGGGTATAATAGTTGCTAGAGAGAAAATAAAGGGATGAACATAAGTTGCATACAAGTAATAAGTTGATACTGCATCAGAAACTGAATAGGAGGCCATCATCTGCAATAACAATTCAAATCAAAGAAAAAAAAAATTAAATGATCAAGATATCTCATGACCATCTGGAATCATAACTTTTCAGATTGAAAACTCCACACATGACAAAGTATGGTATACCCTCAGGAAAAACCATGATTAAAAACAATGCTCACGTGAAACAAAAAACAACTTAAAGATTACACACTTCCGTAGCTCTTGATAAACAAAGGTACAATACTTCAGAATGATTTCTCTGTTCCCAATTAAAATGGATCTCGTTAGTTCAAAACAGAAAACAATCATTAAACTACACAACTTCCACGAATTTGGTGTAAGGATATGCAATATAACCCCACAGTTGAGCATTATATTTGCTGGAACCCAAGACCTAAGAAATTAGGAGCCGTCTATTTTACCTAGAAAATTTCAATTAAGAGGCCCCTTTCAATCTAACACAGCAATCTCAACTAAAGCCAGTTATATACCATTTATTAGGCAAATAAAACCACTATTTCATTACCCTCCCTTTCAATGGAAACTGAATAGCAGTGGCGGCCAAGTCATACCTAGTTTGTGCACAATCATAGAGGTCAAGCAAACAAGAAAAAAAGACATTCAAATACATTGACAACTACTCATACTCAGTATTTTACCAATATTCAAAAATAAAATAAAAAATTCTATTTTGGATGGGCCATCTCCAATCCACCATAACAGACTAATTTAACAAATAATAGAGACATCACTTCAAAATTTAGAATAACTCTAACCTGAGGTTTCTCCTTTGCAAAGCGAACCATGTCCTCAGGGTTAACCTCTAATGGATCATAACCCAACTTTGCTTTTGTAACAGCCTAAATAAAAATAAAGAAAATGTCACAAGGAGAAAGGACAAACTTGATTAATCTGGAATTAATGAGCCCAAGATTTATACTTACTTTATTTAGTATGACATGCAAGGAGACAATTCAATTTACAAAACAAGAGTTCCCCATGAAACACCGACTTGTGAGAGAAAGGGTAAGGAAATCCTAATACACAATATTACCTTGCATTTTTGCAAATAAGTTGTTTCCTAGAATGGAACACATGACCTTTTGATCACAAAGGAGCAGATATACTGCTACTCCAAATTCACCCTCTTAGACCATTCAATTTAGGGGTAGGATATTGTAACAACCAATTAGGGTTACTACTAATGTTACTATCAATCAATTTCAGCGTTAGATCGATTATGTTGATCCAACGGTTATATTTATTTCCATCTTTGTATGGTTATAATTCCCCATACTTAATGTGAAAGCATTAAATATGGGAAATCATAACCATACAAATGTGGAAATAAATATAAAGTATTAAATATGGGGAATCATAACCATACAAAGATGAAAATAAATATAACTATTGGATCAACATAATCGATCTAACGGTGAAATTGATTGGTAGTAACATTGGTAGTAACCCTAATTGATTGTTACAATATCCTTCCCCTTCAATTTAATGTAAAAATAAAAGTTTATATTCAAATTTATTGAATGTATAATTTCGAAAAAAAAATTCACAACATAATTATTTAGAAAAGTTGTCATATTGTGTAAGTGGAGCCAAGGCTTAGTAATTAATAAAATTAATTATCTGAAACAACTGAGAACTTAAGAGTAAAAACTTTGTACCTTCAGGCCTTGGCTCCCCTGAGGGAGATAACTATCACGTTTAACCCAAGCAAAACAATCCAAATGGCAAGCAAATTTAGCACGACATTCTCCTTGATTCATGTCACATTGAAACCCCAATTCCTGCAAGATTAAAAAACAAAGATGAAAACAGAAGAAAAATATATTCAATCAATGAATTAAAAGGGAAATCATCTAATTAATATGCTTCAGAATAAGGAGCAAAAATAAAATAAAACATACATGATTTGTCCCAAAACTCATGACAAATATTACATAACAAAGTCGAATTCAAGCTCAAAAATCATGGGAATAGACTATCATTCTTCAAGTTCATAAGCTATTAATAAAAATTTATATAAATCAATGTCAAGAAACAGAGAATTGTGCCAACATGCTAGCAATTACATTTAACTTTTTGCCACTAAATAGAAGCCAGTATTAAAAAAAAGTTAGCAACGGACATCGCTCATTTTGAACCCGTGATGGGCTGCCCTTCGTTCAATGAATGGCCAATCAAAGAAATCACCATTATACGTCACGTAGATACCAGGTTTAACCTCTTGCATATGAGAAAACCATAACCTAAGAAGGTCAATCTGCAAAAAGGCAACCAAACTCATCAGCCAAAAAAAAAAGATAATGAACCTGAACAAATTAGAAATCATTACTGTAAAACAACTTTGGGGAACAAATTTTCATCAGGGAAATAACATAAACGATATACCTATTATTTTTAGATTCACATATACCATTACCTCATTTTGAACATTTGTCACCTTAAAGCACCCTTCAAATTCCGGTTTTGGAGTGTACTCCAAATCCTCTATATCATCCCCAACACACTGAAAATCAAAGCAATAAATTAATTATTTAAGGTCATCAGTGTCTATGACACTGACTATTGCTTTACAATACATTTCCTGAATGTACAACTACAGGATTAATCAACAACCACATTTAATGCACATGAGTTAAAATAATTTATTACTGTTCCACTTGTTAGGTTGTGTATGATCATTTGGCTTTGCATAATGTAAAGAACCAATTCAACTCAAAAGCTGAACACATAATTTGAAATTGATAAGGATTACCTAATCTCTAGTTGTACATCTCAAATTTAGAATCAAATCCCAACATTATATCCAATAGTTCAATACAAATTAATCAACCTTGCGCATTAAAAATTGGGTCTGTTTGGGAACTAAAAAACCACTTGCAGTTAAATAATCTAAATAAAATGAACCTTATATGAAAAGAAAGAGAACCAGAAGATATTTATCGTGACAAGACTACTTATAAGGGGCTTTTGATGAAACATGTGTTTGCTGATTTCCTTTGTAATAATAACAGAGCAAGAGCGAGAGATTGCTCAAACATTAATGACTTCCATTAACATTTACCTCTCTGTTTATGATTAAATAGCCTTGCCCATCGACCATGTATGAAATCATCATAATTAAATCATAGTCAGCATCAGGAAATTTTAATGGAAGTTTGGTGGTCTCAATGTCAAATGCACAAATACGAACTTCAGCACGCTGCAGAAGATCTGTCCTCTTCTCAAGTGTAACCCCAGTATTGGACACTCCAACATCATACCACTGACCACACCGTATATCTGGGTCACACGTGATTGTGAGCGCCATTATAAATATAGATAATAGCATAACAGTAGAAGATACAACAATTAAATAATTATTAAAAACAAGACAAAAAATATCAAAAGGTACCATTGTCAATGGCAAAGCGAACATGATAAGGAACATCATATTCACGAAGACCAATTATGCAATCTAGAAAATCTTGAGGCTTTTGTTCTCTGCTAAGCAACAAGCAAGCTAGGATCAGATCAGGTAACAAGTGAAGTTATATTCAACTTAAATAATCTGCACTAAAAAAACAGCATTGAACCGTTAAAAGATGCAAAATGTGATACTTCAATCTAAAATTCCAAGTCTCATAAAACTTGATCTACCTTCTTCCTGTTAGTATGGACTCGTAGGCCTCTGCAGCATCAGACTTTGCCTGATTTCTTTCAACAACATGCATCAGGTCACTCTTCACATTCATCAATTGTTGCACAGTATCAAATGAAAGCTTTAAATAAGATTTTCTTAATCCAGACAAATGGTTTTTCTGTTGAGAACCATGAAAATAAATCAGAGTCCATCTATGAGGAAATCAAAAGCAAGTATAGCCTTATTGAATTGAAGCAAAACGAAAACTTTAAAGAAACATAACAATCTTATATTTTACTTTCAGAATGACCTTGTTAAAACAAACAGTAGCAATAAACTAACGCAGACTATATAGTGAACAATATCAACTTGACCTTCTTAAACTCTAGAAGGAATTACCAAAGAAAATCCAAGAAAACAGATTATCAAAGCTGCTTGTCTTGTATCAAAGAAAGTGGAGCACGTAAGAGATGCATAAATTGCTTACAAGATCCAGGTCTTCTTTCTCTAAAATTTCAATATCTGCAATCTGACTTTCATAACGTCGTCTCAGGTATGTTTCAACATCCATCTCCATTTTATCCTATTAAATTTATATAATCACAATTAGAACCACCATCATGATGGTTTATTACAGAATAAACACTGAATAAATCCGCTAAAGCAAAAAAAAAAAAATTGATGATTAGATGATCAGACACGCACATGCTTAACCCCAATATCTTGCCATGGCACTGTATAAGCATGCATATGAATTTTATCACTTACCTTTATAGCTGCATAGAAATAAGGACGAAATCTGTATTTTGACTTGAATGTAGACCCATCCTGCAAGCATACTCCAATCAATGAACTACTTCCCAAACCAGGTCACTCTTTTGGTGAAAAAACTTGTAAGAAAAGTAAGCTTCTGTAGAAGCATTTTAGCCTAACAATACCTGTGTAACAAAGTAAAGATCAACACAGCTGTACTCTTTGTGAGTGTCTTCATCCTCGCTAGATGACTGCAGAGTATGGTAAAGCATGTATAAGTCCCTTGGAGTGATATATTTGTGGTGACTGCATATTATAGTTAGGTACTGAAAATCTCAACTTCTCGTCCAAGGAAGATCAAGGAAAATGAATTGGTGTATAATATTCTTGTTTATGAGTACAATACATTAGAGTGGTGAGAGGCGAAATTACATAAGTAAATGATGGTGGTAGTAGCAACAAAAAACAACAAATGTAACTAGTGGATGAATGACTATAGCAATTCAATCATTGATCGAGGTGGTGGCAGCAATGTAATAACAGATTCATTTAAACTTAAACGATGCTTGCAATAATAATCGTGAGGGAGTAACTTTCACTTTGATGTTCGTCTTTCACCAATTCAATACCGTAACTAGGGAACACACTCACAGTCACAGATTGAAAGCAAAAGTGAATACGAAATGGCTTACGGATGCAAAAGTGAGCAACCATCCAAGTCGCTTTTCGCCCTCTGAGAAATTATCGAACCCTAATTTTGCCTCGAGCTCTTCCTCGGCGTTGCGGATCAGCTTCTGCTTCTTCGAGATCCTAGTGCCCTTCCAGTCCCGTCTGCGGCCGTCGCCGGTCATCGTTGGCAACGAGATCGAAGATTTTGTGGTTAACGCTTTTGAATGAAAGTTATACGAATCTAGAGAAAGAAACACATCTAACTATGAGAGTAGAAAATTTGGCCTTTGGGGGTTGCATTTTCCCGCGCTTCGTTCCGGGGCGAATAAAATGAAGTACGGGCTTTCGCACTGGGTCATCCACTGACCCATTCGCACAAATGTTGCCAAACCCAGTTTTGGCGAATTCACAAAAAACGGGCCTTCGCTAATTTCACAAAACGTAGGTTTATAAGTTATCTACATTGAGTCCAAAATAACGTCGTTTTGGAGTGAAAATCGTGATATTTTTATAATTAAATTTATTTCAGGTTTATAATAATATTTTTCATTAAATTTTTTAATTTTTCAATCTAAAACGACGACGTTTTAGGAGTGAATGTAGATAACTTATCTACATTTACTATAAAAACATTAAAGCCATAAAATATTGAGTACAGTTTTCTTCCCACGAGCATTAGTAATTTCAAGCATTAATTCACTTTTTATTTGGATCAATTAAATAATTGAATATTGAAAGTGCAAATTTATAATTTCAAAAAAAGAACGATGACAAAAACAAAATGAAGAGCACAATAAAAACCAAGCAATTATATATATATATATATATATATATATATATATATATATATAGTTTTGCATTTGTCATGTTGCATGACAAATGTAAAGTTTCCTACACATACATCGATATTTGTGCTGCATTTTCTTTTCTTTTCTTTTTATTTTAAACATAGTGGACTCCACACTTATTATCTCTATAGCATGACAAGAGGATTGTCCTATAACATGATACTTGTTTTTCCCATATATATATATATACTAGTGTATTACCCGTGCGTTGCACGGAAGAAAAAAAATCGATTTGTTTGTCTCGTAAAAACTAATGCAACACATGCAAGTATATTGCTGCATTATACATTGTCATGTGGTCATTCAAAAATTACAAAGTTTGACTCAGCTTCTTTCAGTATTTCTCGAAGATGATAAGAACACGTAACAGCATTTCTCTATGATATATCTGTAATAGAGTCAATCATAATATAATAATAACATAACATGTGAACAAAAAATATTTAAATGATGTGCTTGACATTAAGGGAATAAGAAAGATGTCAAACTTACATTTGTGATCTTTCATCCTCTTATAAATCAATGATTAATAATCTATGAACGAAAGTATGAAAAAAAAAACACGAATACGTGAGTACAAATAAAGTGTTATAACAATACATCAATATATCGATGACCATGAAATACTGTTTGTTAAAAAATAGCAATTAACAATATAACCTCGTGTGTATGAAATACGATTCCTGCATGACAACAAAAATTAGCAGTTAAAAAAACCAAACGGCAAACCAAACGGCAACGAAGATAAGTAAAAAAACACTCCATTGCCATTTTTTTGTCTTTACCTGTACCAAACAACGATATTATCTCCTTGTAGACAGAACAAAATATACTACAGTAATCTTTGAAATACTTCATTGTAAACTATATTAAGGGTAATATTCGTAACACAACCATTTTTATCAAGTATCAATATCTTCAATCCATGCTTGCTATTTACTCTAGACAGTGCCACATGTAATTGTCCATGAGTGAAGACAGGCTTAGGGAGATAAATTGCAACATGAGAAAGAGATTGTCCTTGACTCTTATTGATAGTCATGGCAAACGAAACAATCGGGGGGAATTGTCTTCTTTGGAAATTTATAGGAAATGTATGACTTGATGGACTCATCGTCATTCTATGAATTAACACAATTTCACCTATATTGCTTCCTGTAAGAACAATTGCCTCAACAACATGATTCCCCGATTTTGTAATGAGCAATATTGTGTCATTGCATAAACCTCTGGACTGATCAATATTGCTCAATAGTGTAACACCCCGTATATATCTGGTAATGTTATCTTAATATCGTATTAAGTTGCGCTTAATTAAAATGCGGAATTACTTTTTCTTTTCAATTATGATGTCATTAACATTACCAACTTGCTTAATAATCAATTAATAAAACATCGCCTGTATGTAATTGCAATAAAACAGCTAACTGAAAAACCTCATAACATAGCTAATATAAGTGTGGCTCTAGTCACGGAACTACAACAACGTAGACCGGACCATCTAACAGTTTATACAGCTCCAAACTACAAGTACTAACAGAAAGTGTCATGGACAATCCTCATGCTCACTCAAATAAGGCAACATGCCCAACATCAGTCTCAACAACAACATAATGATAAAAGGCATAAAACATAATCAGCATCCATAACCAGTCATGCTAACAAATAAGCAGAAACAACATAATCAGCTAAGCTCCGGCCTCCTGCCGCCTGAGGCATCAGTACCCATACTACCTGATCCTGAAATAAGCATTCCCCAAACGTGGGGTAAGATCTCTAATCTAGAAATCTCAGTAAGTCAGTGAGTCCTCAAGGATCTTCCACCCCAAGCTCACTTACATGTGCAATATAAGTTTAAAAGCAGTTTATCATTTATCATTTCTAAAACAATGCAATGCAGCAGATAATCATGCCATGTGTGTCAATACTAATCTACTGGCCAGAGACAGTGCAGGTATACGTCTATCACCTACACACCGTGCAAGTACCACTTGCATTCACCCCGGTACACCGTCTTGTATGGCGCTACATACTCAGGCTTCTCGTCAAGATGAAACAACACATGCATATTAAAAGCCATTACATGTAAAGTTCAATCAACATATCAAATATCCAAAAGCATGTACACAGCATGCATAAACCATACCCCCATGGAACATGGTAGAACCACAACATGGCTAAACCGAGGACACGAAAGCTTACCTTGCAAGCTAACTCCAAAAGCCAAGAGTCCATAGCTCAAAGTCCAAACACAGCAGATTCACAATCTGTTATGGATCAATACTAAATCAATAACATGTACCACATGCATACAAATTAAAGACAACGCCTTTTCATTACGCTTTATGTCTTAAGGCTTCTCACCAAGCCATAAGCCCTTAATCAATTGATTTTGACTTAATTTAATTAAAACAGAAGTTCAACCTCATCAATCTAGGGTCCACAAACCCCCAATAGCCTACTGTCCTCACAGCACAGCTACTGTTCTTCGAAATCCCAGAATATCCGGATATATGTCGGGGGCATATCCGGATATCCATATCCGGATATCTCCAAGCCCATATCCGGATATCCATATCCGGATATTTCGCGACAGAATGCAGTTTCTGCATTTCGCGAGATATCGCTCCCAAGGTTCCATTTTATTAAAACTGAAGTTGTAATTCTTTCCCAAAAATTCTGAGATTTTAATATGTTAAACTAAACATCACAAGCTTTCCAACGACATATCTTATGTCTCAATCGGAGTTGTATAGCTTCGGTTATGATTTTCGCAAAGTGACTGCTGCCAACTGAATTTCCAGCAACCAAGACGCGACTTTAAACTAACACTGAGTTCAAACCACTTATCCAATGGCTACCAAATTTTACAGAGTTGTATCCCTATGTGTTAGCTTTACATAGGTCCAAACGGCACTCGATTTGGAGCTCTGTAGCTCAAGATATTGAATTTTTACCAAGACAGGTTCGTTGCTGTCCCGAAATCCGGATATCCCGGATATGCATATCCGGATATTTCGCGACAGATTGCAGTTTTTTTGCATTTTGCGAAGATATCCAACAAAGGTGGTTCATTTCAAGCATACAGAAGCTTAAACATGCGATTTAAGGTGTGTTTAACATTACCCAACATTAAGTTATCAACTTTAATCCATTACATGCATCAAGGTTCCACTTTTAAGCATAAAAACTCAAGAACAAGGTTGGTACAACATACCCAAGCTTCAAACTCAGAACAAAGAGGCTCTTGGAGCTCACTTGACACTCCCAAGGTTCTGACTTTACCCAAGAACGAAAATGGCAACATAAGCTATGTTCTTTCTTCACAAAGAAGGCTTCTTGAAGCTTCACAAGCCAAGAACAAGTGCTCTCACCCAAAGGGACACCAACTCAGCCCCTCAACACCTCACCAACAACCTCTCCAACTCAGAAAGGAACACACACTTCCTTCACAAGGCTCACACACCCTCAACCAAGTGTTTAGATGGTGAAACAAAGAAGAAAAGGTGAAGACTTTGAGGTTTCTCATGCAAAGGTGACCAAGGAGAAGGGTGGGAGCAGCCAAGCTCTCAAAATGTCACGTAGGAGGCACCATTTCTGACCTAGAAATGTGTGCCATGGCCTTATATAGGCCCACTTAAGAATGAACGCGCAGTATTAACTTTAATTGCTACGCTTAGCATTTTAATCTCAAACTCAGGATTTCTAACCTACTCAATTTTACAAGAATTATCATATTTTTCTTATAATTTTCTGAGCACCTTTCCGGTACGCGCTTTTCCAAGCCAGTACCGGTTTCTAGTACCAGTTCTCATTATCTTGACTTGAAACTCGTTTTACAAGTCCTACATATTATTCTAGTAATTATCATGCACTTATTATAATTTTCCGGGATACTTTTTCGGCACGCATTTATACCGACTAGCAGAACCGGTATCTGCACTTTTCTTCCGAAAAGCGACTTTCAGCATTCTTAATCACTTATTACGATTATTAAGCCTCATAAATAATTATTAGGGTCAATTATGGAATCATTTCCTATTTTCTCGTAATTTATTAATTAAATTCCTTAATTAACGGTGCGGGTTCTTACAAATAGCATTACTGGAACTTTAACCTTCAAGGTTAATTTATGATTAGGAATCCCCAAACATGATAATGTATTTAAGATGTCAGGTGTGAATTCATCATCCTCAACGGAGGAAGTCACATCTTGCTTCATAATTTTATCTGAACTCAAAAAATGTCCTTTCTTCACCAGGAATCATAGACATCAGGTGCTCGTTCAACATAGCAACATCGGACAATTTAGGAGTTAGAATAACACATTCTTTGAAAAACATTGGATCTAAAATATTATCCAAAAGATTCAGATAAACAAAATTAACCATACCTGAAAGCGGATCTTCTAATTTTGTAATCAACAATTCATCTGGAATTTTTATAATAGATTCTCCGTCATCATCATCTCCAAGATCACCATCCTCGATTTTAAGTAGCCACTCAGAAAATTCTTTTATTTCCTTCACATTACGAGTGGTACCTCAAGAATTAAGAAGCATGTTCTTGGTCAAAGTTAATAAATGACAATGGGACCATAGATGAGAAAAATGTATGGTTGCATTAACTATCTCTTGTCTGTTGCCATGAGGAATGACATGCAATATTTGCCGAAAGTCACCTCCTAAAACAACAACTTTTCCACCAAATGGCATATCAACACAGCTCGTGTTAGAAAATCTAAGAACATCTCTAAGTGTTCTATCCAAAGCCTCAAAACAAAATCTATGTAGCATCGGTGCTTCATCCCAAATGATTAACTTCGTTTTTGACAGCAACTCAGCTATAGTATAATTTGACTTCATATTACACGTTGAATCTTCATTGATCTGAATAGGAATAAGACATATAGAATGTGATGTTCGTCCTCCAAGAAGCAAAAGAGAAGCAATTCCGCTAGAAGCAACATTAAGTACTATTTCAGCTTTTGATCTAACAGATGCTGAAAGAGTATTCCAAATAAATGTTTTTCTTGTACTACCGAATCCGTATAAGAAGAATAACCCTCATTTACCCGCTCTAGCTGCCGAAATGATTTTGTCATAAACAACTCTCTGCTCATCAGTGAGGGAATTCAATAGTCTTTTATGCTCTTCTCCCAATGAAAATTTGTCATACATTAATTCATCAACCACTAATCGATTCTGCATATCAAGCAACGATTCACTAGTGATGCAAGGCATTGACGGGTAATCAGAGAAGCATTTACCAATGCTCTGCAGTACCTTATCAATTTCAGCAAGTGTTATATTTTTATAGACTATTTTGTAATGCGTCCATAATTACACACTTAACACAGATGAAAATTTGGATTACTTATTATAATTGATTTAAGTAATTAATAAAAACCACAACAGTTCCAAAGTTTCAAATTAATGCTGGATTAAATCTTTTATTATAAGGTGCATTCCAATAGTTAAAGACTCGAAATTCAATTATATATAGGGCAAAACATTCTCTGCTGATGTGACTCTTATTGTTCCAATGCATATTTCGTTTGACAATTATTAACTCTATGAGTGCATTTTGAAATACAACAGTTTTGAAAGATCAGAGTAACATCATTCCTTAAACAAACATGCTTAACTACATAAATAAGGGTCAGAGTAAATATCGCATGTAGGGATAGTGGGAAGTCGAAAACGGTGACTGTTGAGACGTGTGTTGAATAAAATATCGCATGCTTAAATACATAAATAGGTACATTTTTTTCGATCTAATCATCAGTATATATTGGGCTTGCCTTTTATTTTTAAACCAAATATAGTATAATTTTTACAAATCTTCACATTCAATCAAAAAACGTCTACATACACGATACTAAATCAAATCAGTTGTACAAGATATGAAAAACAAAAACAAAAAGAAGAAAACAGTAACATTCATTAAGTTAAACTTCCAAAATCACATAATAAAAGAATAATGAAAGATAAGAAACTACTAAATGCAACACATGAAATCACTAAAACAGATAAAAAAAAAAGCCTAAACCAACACCACTAAAAACTAAATCAGACTATAGTCATTATACAAAATAAGAACATCTCAAAATCCGCCTTGCAACGTTGACAGATCTTATTCCTAAGCATGTTGTTAATCTCGTGATTCTCCGATGAAGAAGGTTCATCCTCAGTGAATCGCGTTTCACATATGCGGGGATTGCAAATGGGTATTCCGTGATAAACCATCTCCCTACGCACCCATAAAGACCTGATGAAAAGTCTAACACGTCGTCTGCAGTGCCTCAAAAGGTGGGCATCATCCAGCGCGCGAAAAAATTCAAAGCCCACAGACCTCTGATCTTCATCAACACCAGCCATCAATATGATGGAACATGCGTACTTGGCATCTTGGTGACCTTTCAGCGCTGCAGTTCTAAGCCCTTCAAGGGCCATCGCTTGCATATCCGAACTCGAAGTTTCTCGAAAGTAATTGACCAATGCCTCACGATACAATACTTCAGGATTTCCACTCTCCCTACAACGCTGCAAAAAATGAACTTGTCGTCTTCTTTTGAAAACTTGCAGTGGGTCGAAGTACATGTTACTTTCTTCCTCATCGTTTTCGTTGACCCTCACTCGGTGAATAAAAGGCTTCTCATTTGTAACCCACTCCATTGGTCCCAGCGCAAACTTCTCCAACGAAACACGCTCGTAAACATAATTTGATTCGGCAAGTTGAAGAAATTTGGTGCAAGCAAAATTTACGTTAGTGATGTCCTCAATTGAATGAGATGCCACCTTTCCAAAGATCAGCAGTAACACATCTTACATCAGTGGTTTCAAATACTCAACATTAATGATTTCCATTTTCATCCGCTTGTGTGACGATGAATCAACCATGGAACAATCGAGAAATGTATATGAGGAGTGTCAGATGTGTATGGAAGATAAGATGAATATTAAAATACAGAAACCTCATTGTATATAATGACGTAGAACGATACATAGCCAAACGATTAACCTCGACGATTCGGCTGCTCATCTTCGTATGACGCGCTGATGTAAATGACTCCCATGTCACTGGCTGCACACGTGAACTGGAATATGGAACGTCGTCGAGCATATTGTTTTACAAAAGACCTTTGAGTAATAATTTAAAAAAAATTAAATCAAAAAAATATATTAGATGCAGCGTTTTGATGACAGGTGGTCCCCAAATTAAGATTTTAATCATATTGGATGATTTCCAGAACCATTATTCCTCAAATTAAGAAAAATTAATTCCTACGTTGAGTAAACAGTAGAGTAGATGCAGCATTTTGATGACAGACGGTCCCCATTACACTGTCGTTCCAAATTCTTTTTTAAATTCAAAAAATGACAATGTAGAAAGAAAAGAAAAGAAACAGAAAGAAATAACCTGTTAAGATTTGTTGACATATAAATTTCCAAAACGATATGCTATCAGTTGTTAGTTTGTGTTTTTTGAATTATTCAATGAGTCAGATTATAATTTTTGTTTTCTCAGTCTTTGTTTGAATAAAATTGAACTTGTAAAATTAAACTTTTAAAAGACGAACCAAAACATAATCAAAGATTGGATTAATCATTTGATTATTAACATTTATTGCACAACATGTAACACTACAACTTTCGCTCTTAATATTAATTAACGTCGTTATTGATACTGGAAGATATAACTGATTTTTCAGCAACATGAGTACTGTTTTTTTCCATTAGAACTTTTGAATCAATGTTTAAAAAAATAGTAGGAGAGTGCTACACATCAACATATCAGGAATTCATTGCAAAAAACAGCTTTCATGGGGTAGTCCATTACAAAAAACTTCAGTTATGAATATACCATATTAGTTGTCACTTGAACAAAAGACATTGCAAATAAAAGTCATAATAACAACAACAATTCTTTAAACATCTCATCTCCAAGACACAAAAAATCATCCTCAAGACATAGTTGCCAAATCTACGGGGTGATCTCATCTGCTTCTGCATCAAATCTATTTAAAAAAAGAAAAGAAAAAAATCAGTGATGAGCATCTCAACGTTGCGCAAGCAAATGAAATGGTTTAAACAGTATAGTAAGATTAAAAAAAATTTGATGGCAATTTATAGAAACACAAATATAAATCAAAAAATACGTAACTCCTTTTCAAGCTTTATTTTTTCGCTGTTCGGACAGCTGAAAAATTAAATTCCCCAGCAATAGAATTATGAGAATTAATCACCGGTGTCAACATAGTCAGAGAAACATAACCAACGTCAGCACTATCACAGGTCTAACTTTCAACATCCTATAGTTTTGTAAAAAAATAAAAATAAGTAGTACGTCAAGATATTATGAATTTTTTTTGTTCAGAACATAAATTTTAATTCAAATAATGGGTTACCGCAGCCTTTTCAGGTTCCGACGATACAATTTTGTTTTCGCGAGCAATATCAAAATTTGCTTCCTCCTGTGATATACAACAACAAACAACAGTCAGGTAAAAATGAATAAGAAATTTGGACAACCAACATAAATAAATATGCAGCGTACATTTGGATTGATCAGAGACTTAATGAACATTGAGATTATTTCTTCATTTTTACAAATTTTGGAAACTTGATACTTTCGTTCACTGTATGAGTTTAGATCCTTCTGCTTCACATTTATCTTAAACAACATTGACTTCTCATTCAAAACATTTTGTTCTTCTGGAAATTGATCCAAATCCGCACCCTATAAAAAAATAAAAAATGAAAAAGTAAAAAAGAAGAAATAAACAGGATACAAAATGTTATGATATTCCAGCGCTAACAGTGATCAATAAACGACAAAAAAATAATATGTTAAGCATTTAACAGGATTGATAATACACACCTTCTTAAAATGTCGCTCGCGCAATTCACCAGCAGATATTCCCAACAAAGTAACACAGTCTCGATCAAACAGAAGAAATGATGCAGAATCAGTGTTATCCACAACTCTGACCTGAACACTACATCTATAGTTTTGCGAATTTGTATATCAGCAACAAATATAAACGTATGGACTAAAGAAAAATTATAGACCAAGAACAACATATTACCTTGGATAATAATCATCCCAATGTTTTTGGCAATTCTTACAATACCACTTTTCAAATTCCTCACAAACAGAAATTGGACATTTCTTGCAAGACTTGTACCAGCTGTTGTATTTTCTCTCAATAGATTGTATAGTCTCATACGCGATGCATGTCGTAACCTTAAATACAGTCATCGCACGTAAAAATGAAACACAACAATACAGACTTCATACGATTCAAGAAAAGAAATTAACAGACTTAAAATATTTACCTCACCACAAAGCTTAACATCACTGATAGACTTCTTTTCAGTCTCCTTAAGAAAATCATTTTCGAAAGAATATGAGGACTGAGTAGACAACTGAGTCAACCTCATACTACTTTCCACACCATCAGTTGAAAGACTATAAAGCAAAAATTGTTAACACTATAAGTGAATAAACAAATAAACACTATAAGAATAAATTATGCTTGAGAAGAAATATCACACCGTTTTTTGAACTCAACAATCTCTGGCACCTTTGAATCCATGACAATCTTTGTTGTGTATTTTGTATTGGTTAAACCGACCTTACCTATTAAATAGAAAAATTCAAATAAAACCAGAATACAGACACCATAATGAAAACAAAAATGATTACGACATTATGAGTATAACAAATAAAAACAGAGAAAAAAATACCCCCAAAACATTTGATCCTTCCCAACTGAACTATTAAGACGTTATGAGGAGTGTAGTTGTTTGCCAAAAAAGAATGCACCTCATCCACATAATGCTCCCACAAAGTGCATTCCAGTTTGTGACCCCTACATATGAGTTGCAGCAGGAACAACGTTACACACGAAACATATAAGCTAACAGAGCGACAATTTTTTTTGTTTTTCTATCTAACTCTAACATTTCAAATACCTCAAGTTGTCAAGCTCCAACACAACCATTTTCGTTTTCCTACCAGAAACTACACGATCACAAACTTCTCCAATTCCTGAGATCAAACCAATGACGTCTACAAAAAAAAAAAGCAGCAAAAAGTTCATAAAATAAAAATGCAAAAAATAAAAATAAAAAACAGTTAGGAAAAATATATTACCCACTAAATAAGAGTCAGATGATTCTTTCTCAATGATGTTATAATCAACAAAATCAAATAGACTCCAAGAAAGATCACAATC